AACAGGAGGTCCCGTGTTGGGACCAGCACTGCTCAATAGAACCTTCTGCTCTGAGGCAAAGTTCTCTCCTTCTGGTATCCAGCGCGGCAGCCACTAGTCCCGCGTAGCCATTGAGTGCTTCAAATATGGCTGGTGCAACTGAGGAACTGAATTTTAAATTTCATTTCAATTTTTTTTAATTTTAACTATTTTGAGGTATGACAACTGCATATTGTGTAAAGTTTGATGTTTTGACTTATATGAGGTCTGTCTGGAAAGTATCCAGCCATTGTTAAAGATTACGTGGCTGGATACTTTCCGGACGGCCCACAAATACCTGTGAAACCATCACCACAATCGGGATAGCGAATATGCCTATCTCATCCAACTGTTTCCTCGTGCCCCCTTCATTTCTGTCCTCAACCCCTAGGTCCAGGCAACCAATGACCTGCTTCCTGTCATCATATAGTTTGCATTTTCTAGGATTTTATACAAATGAAATCATGTGGTCTGTACTGATGTTTTTTTTGAATGGCTTCTTTCACACAGCAAAATTATTCTGAGATCCATCCATGTTGCTGTGTGTCTCAGTAGTTCATCCTTTTTATTGCTGAGTGGTATTCCACTGTTTGGAGATCATAGTTTCATGTTGATGGAGATTAGAGTTGTTTTCACTTTTTGCCTAATACAAATAAAGCTGTTATGAACATTCTTGCACAAATCTTTGCATAGACATATGGCTTCATTTCTCTTGGGTAAATTCCTAAAAGTAGACTGGCTAGATCATGTGGGTGTGTGTTTGACTTGTAAAGAAACTATCAATCTTTTCCAAAGTGTCTGTATAATTTAACATTCCTACCTGAAGTATATGAGCATTCCAGTTGCTCCACACCCTAGCTAATACATGGTGTGGTCAGTCTTTTTAATTTTAGCCACTCTCTAATAGGTGTGTAGTGGTTTCTCATTGTGGTTTTAATTTGCATTTCCCTGATGACTGATGATGTTGAACATCTTTTCATGGGCTTGACACTTGTATACCTTCTCTGGTGAATTGTTCAGATCTTTTGCCCATTTTTTATTGTGTTGTTTTCTTATTATGACATTTTGAAGTTTCTTTACATATTCTAGACACAAGTCCCTTATCAAATATATGATGTGCAAATGTCTTTTCTTAGTCTATGGCTTGTCTTTTCATTTTCTTAACAATGTTTTTCAAAGAGCAGAATCTAAGTTCTGATGAAGTCCAATTCCTTAATTTGTTCTCTTATGGATTGTGCTTTCAGAATCACAGCTAAGAAATCTTTGCTTAACCCAAGGTCAGAAAGGTTTTTTTTTCTATAATGTTTATGGTTTTTGTTTTTACATTTAGATCTATGAACCATTTTGAGTTAATTTTTGACTATGGTGCAAGGTATGGATTGATTTTTGTTTTTTTCCACAATGCTGTTATCATTCCCATTTCACAGATAAGAATTAAGGCATTTAAATATTTGCCCTAAGGCAGCAAAGTCAAGATCTAAATCCAGGTTTTTAGGCCTCTGAAGTTTATGCTTTAACCTAACAATATTCAAGTGTACTGTGTACCTGAATGGCCTGGGAGCTTGTAAAATGCACACTCTCAGGCTCACTCCAGGCATTCTGCATTTCACAGGTTTCCTCAGTGGTCTCCACCACTTTGCTCTTACTTTCACTGGGGCCAGAGAAACTGTAGGACAGTTCACTTGCTCCTTGGCCCATGTTTTCCACTATAGCCAGAAATAAGTATATTTTAATTTGAACTCCTGAGAAGATACTTAGATCTTCTGAAGCATCAGGACATTGTGTTATCAGGAGGCAGGTACAGTGGGAGAAATGTTCTGGAGACCCACAGGAAAAGCCCTCTGTGAGCTGAACTTCCCTTCCACTGCCATGTAATGGTTTTCCATCCTATGGGAAGCAGACAGGATTAATAGTCTGGGACCATTGTCGATTGTTCTGCCAAGGCCCTGCCAAGGTCTGTGTGTGCCTTCCAAAAGGCACATCTGCATTGGGCAGTGGGGAGGGGACAGGCAACACCTGCGATCGCTGCTTGAAGCCTCTAAGTTTGCAAACCTAGTACTTGTTCCTCTAATATGCATCTCTGTAAATACCTTGGAGATGAGTTCAGACCTTTGTGTCCGAAATAAGGTCAAACAAAGCTATAAGGGGAAGTCCTGTAGGTCTACAATTTCTGTCCCCTGAACAGGGCAGGTAATAAAAGGGATCAGCAGTGGCCCAGCCCCCATAGAGTATCTGGTTGTCTCTACAGGGGAAGAACTTTTAACTCCCCAGTGTCTACTTCCTCTGCTGAGCGAGCTGCACCAGCTCAGACGTCCCACCTTTAGCACATTGCTGAATGTACAAGGAAGTGCCACTGGAGAATGCCTGGCATCGCATCTGATGAGAATAAAAACTCTATGACTGGTTTCTGTTCCTTGGTGCCCCCAAATTTCAGTTTCATTGCAATAAAAAGAAAAAAGCATTAAGAGAATGAAAAAACAAGCCACAGACTGGGAGAAAATACTGTATTTGCAAAATACATATCCAATAAAGGACTGGTATCCAAAATATAGAAAGAATTCTTAAAACTCAACAATAAAAAAGCAACCAACCAAATACAAGAATCAGCAAAAGATTTGGACACCTTGCCAAAGAAGATGGCAAAAAGCATACAAAAAGATGTTCAACATTATACTTCAGTAGAGAATTGCAAATTAAGACAACAACGATACCACTACACATCTATTAGAATGGTTATCATCCCAAACACTGACACCACCAAATGCTGGTGAGGATGTGGAGCAACAGGAACTCTCATTCATTGCTGGTGGGAATGCAAAAATGGTATAGTCACTTTGGAAGACAGTTTGGCAGTTTCTTATATAATTAAACATGTTCCCACCATGTGATCCAGCAATTGCACTCCTTGGTGTTAACCTAAATGAGCTGAAAACTTATGTCTAAACACCTGCACACAAATGTTTATAGCAGCTTTATTCATAATTGCCAAAACCTAAAATCAACAAAGATGTCCATCAAGAGATGAATGGATAAAGAATCTGTGGCACATCCATACAATGGAATATTACTTGGCAAAAAAAGAAATGAGCAATCAAGTTATGAAAAGACATGGAGGAAACTTGAATGCATATTGCCAAGTGGAAGCAACCAACTTGAAAAGGCCACACACTGTGCAATTCAAACTATATGACATTCTGGAAAAAGCAAAACTACAGTGTCAGTAAAAATATCAGTGGTCACCAGGGGAGGGAGGGATGGCAGAGCACACAGGACTTCTAAGCCAGGGAAGCTATTATGTATGATACTGTAACGGAGGACACCTGTCATCATACATTTGCCAAAACCCACAGAACTCTACAGCAAAGAGTGAGCCCCAATGAACTATAGTTAGTAATAAAGTATCAATATTGGCTCATCAATTATAAAAAATGAGACATAGAATGCATGTATGGGATGACTATGAATATGTAAAATAAAAATAGCTAACACAAAAGAATACAGTCCAATCCAGAGAAGGGAGGCATTTCTAATTTGGACAGGCCCGAAAATAGGAAGGCAGGTTTTGAATAAGAAAACATTTTAAAAGGAAGCAGAGCAATGTGTTCATGCTCCCTGTATGCTGGGCACCGTGTTTAAATGTGGTGTCTTACTGACCCTCACACAAACCCATGGGGTGGACACTCACCTGTAGATAACACGGGGAGGGGAGCTGCTGTGTGGCCCTAGCACGTAAGTGGCAGCCTCGGGGTTCACAGTCAGTCTATGCTGATCACCTCTACATCATACTTCTGTTTCAAATATTTAGCAACTAGGCTGAGTTTAAACTGAGTAGAACTGTAATATCACTTATTTGTTAATCGATCCTTGTGAAATGCTTGCAAGTTGCTTATCCAAGAATTTGTCTCTACATTCAGCAAACTGCCCTCCCTCCCCTCACCCCTGCCATTAGAGAAAGGCAAATTTCGGCCACTCACCTTTCATACTTACATAATCCAAATGAGTCAAGTCTAAGTGCAGCTGCCCGGTTGGCCCCTGCTGGCCCCTGCTGCTCAGGTGTGGAGTTCAGCTTGCGGCCTCGTGCACACACACTAGCTATGTAGGGAAACCACCCTTCTGGGGGGCCTGGTTTGTGTGACTGATGTGAGTTACCAGAGATCAGTGACTGGGGGACAAGGTTTGGGTCTCTGGGGGCAAGTCCCTTTCCCACTTGATCTGGGAACAGTGCCCTGGAAGCTGGGACAAAAACTAGAATTTGGAAAAGGGAAGGTTTGAACCGTCTGGTGGCAGCAGGACCCTGAGGACAAGGCCCAGAGTGGCTGCAGGGAGCCGGCACTTGCAGGGTGCTGACTTGGGGCCCTCGGACAGGGCGTGCGGCTCACAGAAGCGACAGAAACAGGCTTGTTGGAGAGTGACAGAGAAGGGGGGTGAAAGCCCACAACAGGTAGCTGCATGAGCAAGGGCAGTGAAATCAGCACAAAACAGGAAACCTACCATCTCCACCCCAAATCAACCTAACCCTACTCCCACCCCAGCTTCCTCCGCCATGAGGAAAAAAGGGATCCCTGAACTGTGCTGTGTGACTGGCCGCCCCTCAAGTATTCGGTTTCTACCTCAGTCGACCCTCAGGCTGTGTTTTTCTCAGTGCTCAGCTCCCTGCTCCACGCAGAAGTTCCAGACCTTGGTCCCTCTCCTCTCATCCCCACCTCCGCCTCTTTCAGCAGGACAAAGGAGGAGGTCGGGCCTCTTCCACCCAACAACAGCTCGTGGCTCCATCCTCACCCCCTCCACCGGCCTGGGCACCTCCCTCCAGCTCTGCTCAGGCCGGCCCGCTCCCCACCAGCCCTCCGGTAACCCGCTTCCTACAGTCACCAGGGACACTGCTGAATGATTCCTTCTCCCTACCCCTGTGATAAGAACAGCCATTTATTTCATCCTTGAAATCTTTTATTTATTGCATTCAAGGCACATTCTCTTGATCTTCTCCAATGTCTCTCAATTCTCATTCTCAGCCTTCTGTGGCAGCTCTGCTTTCTTTGGAAACTTCCACTCTGTAGGAATGTGTTTGGGGGAAGGAGAGTCAAGGAGTCTGTGTTTTCACTTGAGCCCATGCGGTGACTGTTGCAGGCAAACCCAAGGACCACACTTTGAGAACCACTGGCTGACCACATGTCACTCAAGCACCACGACACCATCCCGTGCAACTGACCCACGCATTCTTTCAGACCCACTCCTCTTGGCCCCGCCCCTCCCCAGCCCGTCCCCTGGCCCTGCGCCTTCCCAGCCTGGGCCCTGTCAGCCCCTGCTGCCACCACCTCCTCTTCGTCCCTGACCCAATGCATTCCATATCAGCTACTTTTCTGAAATACATCCTTGATTATGCTGTTTTCTCTGCCATCTCTCCTGTCATCATTAAGGAAAATCACACTTCTTCCACCTTGGCCCAACTAAAACATGTCCTTTGAAAAATCCTCCTTCGGTTCTCCTCAGGCAGAATCCACCTCTCCATTCTTTGCGGTCCGAGGCATGTCATTCTGTTGTGGTTAGTCACACCCCTCCCTGGCTGCGCTCCCAGCCAATGTTTGCTAAACTGAACGCGTCCAAGGACTACCTTCTATTTAGTGTGCTAAGAAAACAGCACCAAAAACAGAGGGTGCAAATTCCTCCTTCCAGAGCATTCGGACTTTAAAGATACTTCAAAGGGCAACGTTATTTAGATAAGGCTGGTAAATGTCAGGGGTCAGCAAGCTTTTACTGTAACAGGACAGTAAACATTCTAGGCCTTGAGGGCCACATGGTCTCTATCGCAATGACTCAACTTTGCTGAGACAGGATGAAAGCAGCCGTAGACAATATGTAAAGGAACGAGAGTAGCTGTGTTCCAATAAACTTTATTTGTAGACACTGAAATTCGAGTATCATATAATTTTCACGTGTCATTAAAAATGTTGTTTTTTTTAACCATTTAAAGATGGAAAACACCATTCTTAGATTGCAGGCTGTAGTTTGACAACCCTTGGTCTATGTTGCCTATCCCACAGCTGTGCTTAACCTCATATCCTTTGGCATGAGGCCAGTCATATAGCTTTGTCTGTCATATAGCCCCTGAAAATGACAACTTTATACATACAGCTAGAGAGGAGCCTGGACACCCTGATGGAGGAGGAGGGACAGAAACTGCTATCTGCTTTGGCCAGCCTGTGCTGCCCTCTGGGGACCGGCCGGTCCTTCCTCCCAGCTCTCCCCTCAAGACCGGAGAATATTTTCAGTCCCACAGCCTCGCTGTGACAGCTGGGGCTTGTGTCCCTGACCCGCACCAAATAAGGACTTCAAACCAGTTAAGCCACAAAGAAGTGTAAAGATAAAGAATTATAAACCTTGATAAATCATTTAAAGTGAAAAAGCAAGCTTCCAGTGAGTCACAGAATTTTGGAACTGAAAGGAATACGAGATCACGGAGTTCAATTTCTTATCACCATTTACCATCCACATAGCTTTCAGACAAGGAAAGAAAGGTCCAGAAAGGGCTAGTTGTTCAAGACAACAGTGTTTAAGGCAGAGCCTGAGAACCCTGCCTGCCTGACCCCAGCGCAGGGCTGCCAGTACCCGCACTGACGTATCTATACAACAGGCACACAGAGCAGCGCCCCTGAAGCCACACTGCCTAGGTGCACTGTCATTTAATTGCTCTGTGTCCCTGGACAGCAACTCTTAGCCTTTGCTTCGAATTACCTAACTGTAAGACGGAGCAGAGAACCTACCTCAGAGGTTGGATATGAGGCTGAGATGTGCTGATCATGTCTGGCCTGTGCTGGCATTCAAGTGTTGTTAGCTACCAGCACAAATTTATTGAGAGCCTACCATGTGTCAGACATTGAGTGCTTTATTTTGCCAGATTTAATCCTTGCAATCTATTCTATGAAGTGAGTGATACTATCCTCCTTCCATAAAGCAGCCTGAGCAAGGTCACCTACAGCGCGGTGGGTGCTGGGAACAAAGCCAGGACCAGCACTGCACGTCCAACAAGCTGGTTTTATGAGGGTGTCCAAGGCACAAGTGAGTTACCATGTAACAAACAGGACTTAACGCCTCTATGCCAGCAAGAGCAAGCACTGACTGACTGCTAGGTGGCCTGGTGGCTTTCTCAGCACTTAGCAGTGCTTTCTTGGAGTGGGGATGATTGTAGTTGTTGCCACGGAGATTCTTTGCCTTTGGAGTGTTTTGTGGGGGGTGGCTGGTAGAAAGAGTGCTTGGGACAATTGACTTGCGAATGTCAGAGCTTTGAAAATATCAGCAGTTGCTCATCCTTTCTGCTCATGCCATCTCTTCATTCCTTAATTTCTGAAGTTTTAAAACTAATGGAATGGACTATTCACTTCATGCTCGACTTAAGACACAAGGATAACAAAAACCTTTGCAAACCAAAACTCAGTGTGCTCATGAGGGTATTTGTGAATGTTTAAAACCTTCAGTATCAGCAAGCACTGATACTCCTTGAATTTACCTGAGATAGGCAAATATTTAAAGCGTAGTTCTAAAAGTTCCAAGGTCTCCTATCTCTGGAAAAGTTTTCCCATTCCACGTCCTTAAATCCTCCAACAGAGACACAGAAAAGAGTCGTCCCAACAAGCTACAACACAGCTTGGGCTGCAGCTGTGCCCACGACCTGGTCCAGCCCTCTTAGGAATCCAGAGGCCACATGGTGGTTATGTCTGTGGGTTCCTATCATCTTACACAGTTTTAAAAAGCCACTGCACTTGGTTCAGCGTAGAAGCACCCGTGAAGGCAGGACACGGTGCAGGGAAGTGAGCACAAAGCTGAAGTCGGGGCCTGGACTTCATCACTTAATCTTGCTGAACCCCCAATTCCTAATACAGAAAACGGGGGGGGGGTAGATCCCATCCCTTTCACTGTCGTGATGACCAAAGGAACACAGGAAAAGTGCCAAGGAAACTAAAGAACCATCCATGCCTTTAAGGTGTTCACACAGAAACTCAGATGTCAACGGCTGAACGAGGAGACTGCTCACACTGCTTTTATAGCCAGCCACCAGCATTCTTTAAGGTTCTGGGCACAGGTTTACAATCCCAAACGCTTTCTCTCTTACGTTTAATTTTCTCTAAATTAGGTCAGTAGGAAATAGCATCTGCTCGCTTGCACTGTCCTTGTCTCCCACCAGGTGGCATTGCTTTCCAATGAGCAATTTCTTCTGGTGAGAGGCCGGCTGAGGCCTCCTTTTACAGCGGATCAAATTGGAGCTGCAAGAGGAAAAAGAAAAACAATGAAGAACCACCCAACCCCCCACCTCACCCCACCTCCCACTCCCAAATGTCAAAGAACAAAACGGGATCTCGGGATTAGGAGCTTCCAGTGACCAAGGCCTGCAGCCACCGCAGGCTCAGGAGGTGACCACGTGGAGGGCCTGTGGTCCCTGCACGTGTGATGCACTCCACTTTCCACAACAGGAAGGAGGGAAGCCCCAAACCTCTGTGCTAGGGGACTGGTACACATCTGCACACACACAGAGTTCAGGAGATGTGTACCCATGTTCCAATTTAGTGGGCTTGTATTTTCAACAGAGGACAGCATTTAAGAATTAGGTAAATTTCTCTCTGGAATATGGCAAAGAAAAGTTATTTTTGCATGCACAGGCACAATAGTTGTGATTTGTAAGCAGTGATAAGATACTGATGTTAGATTGACCTTAGGAATCCCAGCTGTGCAAACCAGTGTATGAATGGGCGTCCCTGGGAGAAGACAAGACTGCCCACCATGCCCTGCCCTCTCTGCAAATGACCATGCTGCAGGGGCTACAGCACTGCAGTGCAAACACCCAGTTGACATCTGCCACCCAACCCTCAGACCCCAGAGCCCTTCATCCCTGGAACAGCTGCTCTCGGCCCCCCCCACCCCAAGAGAAGATGCAGAGATGTCGTGACGTGTTTCAAGTCAGAGCACCCCGTGTCCTCACTTTGTCCCCCGCACCTCAAAACTCATTTCTCTGAAAATAAATGAGCCCTTTTGGTGGGGTGGGGTGGGGGGAGTTAGCATTTTTCTTTATTCTTTTGAGATGAAATTGTGGGAGGGTTATGGGGTTGCACTACTGTCTCACAGCTTGCCTCCATGTGGTTTCACTGCCTTAACCTTAGAGTGCTTTTGTAATCAGTATGCGGAACTGAGAAAAGGTGTCTTCCAAGCTCAAATGGATGTTGCTCCTAAGTACTAGATGCTACCTGTTAAAAAAAGAAAAAAAAGATATTTTACACTGTGCTTTAATCTCTTTGGAACCTCCTCAGAAAAATTTGATTTTTAGTGCTTACATAAAAAATTAAATGCGACTTTGCTGTGCAACGAACTCACTTTACTTTGGTACTGAAAGATCAGGACTACACCACTCCGCATGTACACACAGTCCATCTCCACCACTGACTGACTGACTGGTAAGCTCCAACTAGGTTTCTTTCGAGAGCAAGGAATACTTTTTATGTCTTTACCCAAGGATAGGGCAGAATTAATTAACGTTAACCTAATGAGCTATGTGAGGTGCTGTACCACCCAAAAAACCATTGCCATCACTCCCAGATGAACACATTCTCTTCCAGATTTTCTCTGTCTCTTAAAATAGTATCATAGTCCTGTTCATCCAAATTGAAGTCAACGAACGTCTGAGTGCCTTCTCGGTGCTATTTCATTATGCTGGACCTTTCTCACATATTATTTTAACCCTCAGAGCCATAATTTAAGATAAACAATCATCTTACATCTAGGAAAAATGAAGCTCAGAGCTCCAAGATTCCTTCTACTTGGCTCCTGCATCCCTTTCTAAATGGGCATCACCAAGTCGATTCTTCCTGACGTTGGCCTTCCTCTACCCGTCCAGACCTCACCCTAACTGTCTCTCAATTTTTAGGCTTTCTGCAACCATCCAGTGATTTCAAGTACCATCATCAACATATTTCCCTTCTATTTAGAACTTGGTAACTTCTGATGTTTCAATCAACTCCACATTCTCCAGTCTGACCCCATTTTACCTATGGCACCCGCAAAGCTCCTCTTTCAAAATGTTCCCTTGACTACAGCTGTGTTTGTCTCCTCCTCCTACCTCCCCGACCACACACTGTCATGTCCGTTCCTGGAACACACAGTTCTTACCCATCGTGCATCCCCTGCCCCTGGGGTGACTGTCAGCCCTCCCTGCCCACGCCGTGAGGCTCTTCTCCAGACTCGCCTCCGCCACGGGGCCTCACACAGACGCCCCGGCTGCACGTGCGCCCCGGCCTCGCACCGGGGCACCCGCTGGGGAAGGAGTCGGGATGTGGACTCGGGTCCCTAGTACACTGTCGGTGTGAGTGTACGTCACTTGGAAAATATGGCAAAGCTCAGAAAACTAAGTATGTGCGTGTCTTACAACCCGGCGATTGCACCCCGAGAGTAATACCTGAGAGAACTTTCGCACACACGAATCAGGAGACTGGTACAAAAATGTTCCTAGCAGCCTTGTTTGTAGCAGCCAAAAAAATGAAAATCATCCAAATGTCCGCTGACACAATGGATAAATTATTTATCTATGTTCTTCCCCACTTCGATGACTATAAAGTGGCAAAAACGAAAACCGTACGTCTATAAAATCGGAGGAGCAGAGCCAGTGACAGAAAACTAGGTACTAAAAGATACCCTTTTATACAGCTCAGGAAAAGCAAAAATAAACTATATATTTATAGGAGGGATGTAAGAAAAAAAAGCAAAGGAATAATGCAACATCTGAGTCGTGGTAGCCTTTGTGTGGTGGTGGAAGGAGGGAGATGGGCAGGTAAGGAACATAGATAATAACACTGGAGACACTCTAGTTAATTTGAAGTTGGGCTCATGACTTATACACGCTACACACTGGTACACATTTGCTGTCGAAAAAGAAACCTGATGCCTGTAAACACTCAGGGAATCTGTAACTATTTCCAACTCACTGCCCAGCTGGACACACAGGGAGCATTGGGTAGATGGCTCCAGACAGTGCCTCAGTGCCTGAGGGCTCGGGCCCTTTTGTCCAGGACTGTGTCAGGACTACGGGAAGGACATGGCCACATGGGCCTCCCAACAGCCTCTTATAAATTATTGTGTAAAAACTCTCACTTGAGACTCGATTACAGAAGAGAATCTATAATGAAATAAGACAGTTGAAATTGTACTGAGATAAGTGCCTAGCTAACAAAATCATATGAACAAGCTTAAGAAATTAGGTCCTTTCCAATTTCGGTGGGGGTGGCCTACCCCAGAAACACACTGTAGGTTGACAAGGACTCTGCTTGTTTACAGCACAGCCTCCAGCACACAGAGTGCTCGACACGCTGACGTGCAGGGCCCCCTCTAGTGGTCACACGGATGCCCTACGCAGTCAAGTCGTTTGGGCAACAAAGGAAGAACATCCCACTGGTACGTGACATTGGGATTCACTGCTCACATTAAAGGGAAATGGGTTGATTGTTTTTAAAAAAAGATCACCATGTATGATGTCCTTTAACTTTCACAAACTTTGCAATAAGGCACAATTCTTAAGCTGTTTTTCATTTTTTTTATTGCTGTTAATTCAAGGAAAAAAGGTTGCATAAAATCCAATCTGTTCTAGAAATATAAGTGGCCTTTCCAGTACATAACATTTCAAATATCAAAGTATATGGTAAACATACAAATAAGGAGAAGGTAACATACCTCCTGTGTACAGTACAGTATTTTAAATCATAAAATAAGCTCCATAAAGTACAACTGGCAAGTGATTCACAATGCGGTCCATACGTGGCTTATCAAAACTCTCACTTGAACAACTCAACTGCAGCTTAACAATTAATTTAATAATGTGGTCCAAAAATACCCAGATCAAATAAAATATATTTAATCAAAATAATTTCCTTTACTCGAACTATTTTTCTTTCTAAATTAAAGCTTTCATCTACCCATTCACGCCCACCCCTTCCCCCATAACTCCCACCCCTGAAAGTTTCAAAATGTACATTGGTGCTATAAATATAAATGCTACTTATGAAGCATTAAGCTTCTTTTTTCTTCAAGTTTTTTCTTTTGTCTAGCAATCTGTTAGGCTTCTGAACCAAGACCAAATATTTAAGTTCCTCTGCTGCATGCCAACATTACCCCACACAACAAAATCTTATCATTTCTGCTCTGTACTGAGGAATGGAAAAACAAAGCCCCCAACCCTTCAGACCTATGACTATACAGTGGTAGTTGTTCATCGCTGTTGAATGCAGCAGTCACCAAAAAATACACCCAGTCTTCCAGATAACCTCAGTGCACTTTAGGAAATCAAAAATTACCTGGAAGCAATTTAGTACATAGATTGGCTTTTAAAAAAACTTTTTGTTTTAAACAGCAGCATTAAACTTAGTGACATGACACTGACATGATTAATACCATCTTAACACACTCAGAATTCAGTCTTTCACATTATAATCAAGCATAGTGGTAAACTGTTATAAAAGAGACTTTGTTACGAGAGACAGGTTAGGGAACAGATACCTGACTTTTTGTAGAAACCCATAGCTTCTGATCAGATTGCAATAAACCATACACAATTTAAACACAACATAACACTGTAACAGTTGGTATAGGAAAGGAAGAACTCTTTACTCAAGTAGTGTCTCTTTGAGCACAACACAGTGGTAGACGACAAGTAAAATTGGCTGTGGACTTTCATTACAAACACAAGCACACAGAGAACAACATTCACACCAGTGTGTTCACTTTGTGTCTCTCTGAAGCAACAGGCTAAAAAACTATGATAGAAGTAAAAAGTTTTTGTTTTTTTTTAAGAAAAAGCTTTTTGTCCATTTCATACATCCTGTTTTTTCAGTTTCATATGGTTTGACTTCTTCCTCTCTCTTCCACTTATTTTCATTTTTATTTGGACAACAAGCACTGCATATATGTATTTACGTGACGCTGTTTATTACATATATACACACTACTTTGGGAGTTTGAGTTCTCCCGAAAGATTAAGGTGAAACTTTTTGCCCTTGGTTTATATGCAGAGCAGTTATAGAAGTGTGCACAAGAACACAGCTGGCCACTCCTGCCTCAGGCTAGGAAAAGAGTGAGGGTGGTGGGGAGAAAGGTGTAGTTTAGGGTGGAAGTGAGAAAAGCTGGGGAAGAAGCAAAGTTTCTTTTTTTCAAAACCATATGACTGTCACCAGTGTTGTAAAAAAAGGTCAAATACACAGTTTTAAAGATTCAGTAAACATTGCACACAGCAAGTATTCAGTGTAAAAAAAAGCACGCATCAACATTTTCCTTTTGATAGTTTGTCTGGAAGTTTAAATTACATGTATCACACATATAAGCCTGTTGTTGAACCAGGAGACCAGAGGCTCAAAAAAAAAAGCATTGCATTCTTTCTTGTTTTGGACATTGGTACAGAGAAATGAAAAATCCCAACTGCATAGAAATCTAGGAAATGTATAGACAAAGAAACAAACAAAATACCTTTCCTTTCCTCCCCTCCACACCCCATGACTCCCCACACTTGAGTGTATTAAGTAGGCAAGCTTTACTTGTCTCAGTCTGCAGAATCCAACGTATCGTTAGAAGGGGGGAGGGGAGGTGCGTATCTCAGTCTGTAAGTGCCTAAAACGGGAAAGACAGAACTACTAAGTCACCGCTTACAAGGAAACGTCATCACAAACCACTACTACAAGATAGCAAATGGGCATGCTCTTCACAAGGCACCTTCAGCACTAGTACCACTCAAAACGGTCACTCAAATTACTTCAAAAAAGTAATATGAAGTTTGTGCTTTAAGTTCAATCTAAAGCTATTGAACTTGATCTTCCTTTAAGAATGCCAAGTAAATATACTCCCAATTCAAGACATTTTTTTCCCCTGGGTAAGATTTGGCAAAATGACAAAGGCCAAATGCAAGTGAAAGACAACAGTTAGAGGTGGACAGTGAATTTGGTATCTTACTCACACCTATGTGTGAGCACCTTCTTTCTGATGGTAGTAATGTTAAACTTAGTTCAAATTCCCCTATTGCAAATCAGTAATGAACTATTTTGTTCCTGTAAAATGCAACAGAATCTTGGATTTTTTTTTTTAACATTGGCTGGGAAGGAACAGTGTAGCAGGGGGAGTATGCGTGAGGCCAGCTGGTTATGCAGATACTAAATAGTTACTAGAAACCTTACATGTCAGGATGCCTGGATTACTTCCTACTTTTTCATTATTTAAAAATTTTGCTTACTCTATGAGGATTGTAGCTTTAAAAAAGAAAGTGCTGCAAGCAAGAGATTTAACATTACAATAATGCAAATTCCCATAACATTCCTTGAAAAGTGCCTGTAGAGTTTATTCCTCAATTGCAAACTGAATTCCCCAGAATTTCCTTGCGCTCTGTGTGACCCGAGTCTACACTAGGTTTTCCGGTTGTATTTTATGATTTGTCACTGAAAACAGAATATCCATAAATGAACACACAAACAGATCTTTCTGCTACAACAGAATCCCATGATCAGTAAGGGAAGGAAGGAGAAACAGGTGAACTCAAAAACAAGTCCTCTGGGAGTTATTGTGATTACCTTGTTGATTGGCCTCCATGGATGACTGCTTACAGTCCTGTGCATAGTGTCCGCTGACACCACAATTGTAACACGAGACATTCCCATTCTTCTTGGGCCCCGAACCACTGGTGTTGGCAACTACGTTAGGTGCCGGGTATACAGGATAGAATCTCCCGAACCCTGTCATCTGCTGCAGGCCATAGCTGGCCTGGCTCCCCATGACTGGGTCATGGACCAGTCCATTTGCATATGGAGTCTGAGGCAGAAAAAAAGGAAGTTGGTTTCCATTGCTCTGATGTGCTTGGTTGAGGTAGCTGCCATTGCAAATGGATGGCAGAGTAAAGAACGGGACTCGGTACATTGGTCCGGGCACTGGATTAGGATAATAGTAACTGTTTAGCTGAAGGTTTCCATTGGTCCCACAGCTGCACCTTCGCCCACAAGAACCACAGGGACCTGAGCCCATCTGCTGCGGTGGCACTACCGTCCCGTTGGCGTTTGTGTTCCCCACAGCACTGATGTAAGATGTGCTGTCGCTCTGCGCAGTACTGTGTGTCAAAGCAGGGCTCGGGCTCGGGGCAGGGCCTGGGGTGTGGGTAGGAACCGCAGGAGGGGCGGTAGCCTGGGCCTGGCTGAGGCCCGCGCTCGCCGGCTGGGGAGACGGTGCTGCCGTGTTGAGCACACTGGAGTTCTGGCTGGGTAACACGCTGGCGGCAAGGGGGGAGCCTGGTAAGGTGTAGGAAGCTGGTGGCTGTGTGGCTGAGAGGCCAGCTGCTGGAAGAACTACCTTCACATTGGTAGGCTGAGGGACTGTCCCAGTGTTTCCCTCAATTTGAGGCACCATTTGATTTAGTCCTACCACTTGAGATGCAGATTTTGTGATGGGGTCCGTGGTAGCAACAGGAGATCCTGGAAAACTACCTGGGTTATGGACAGGAATAAAGGCAGTGTTTGGTGACCCGATGCTCAGACTTCCGGTAGGTTGTTGTGGGATGTTAACTGTGCAACTCTCCGAAGATCCCTGTGGTGGTGGCAATTTCAGCCTCTGCAATGTCAGGTGCAAAGCGGGAGTACTACTATGTGGAAGGAAGGTTGATGGAATAGGTAAAGGGGAAGCCAGTAATTCAAGGTGCTTTTCTGATTCTCCAGTGGAAGCTGTTGGCCCTAGTATTCCAACAGGGGTTGAATTTGTGGACTCCCTTATTGCAGAGATGTCAACAGGACTAGGAACAAGCATCCCTATTGTTTTACCATCAGCAGATTTGGGTGTAGGAACGACAACTTCAGACTTCTGGGCACCATTGTGCATGACACAGTGTAAAGTTGGCATAAAAGAAATATGCTGATACTTGGGCGCGTTTAAGGGATCATCTAAAAGGCTTCCACTCTCATTTCCTAGTGAAGCAATTTGAACAGGTGGCTTGACAGTGACAGTCTGGTTGACAGAACCATAACTTGTAAACCTAGTTGTTGATGGATTCCCAGAATCTTCAGAATTGCTGTCTGTGTCTAAAGAAAACACACAAATATAGATATTAACATGTGCATAACTCCCATCTTTCTTGCTAGAAGTAAAATTTAAGTAAATCTAAAATTAACTGTGAAGCTTGGAAGGTGTCCCTCCACTGTGTTTCCTAACTGTCCAAGCTGACCACCTTTTAACTTCTGGCTGTCTGTGGATCATCATTCCATACATGCTTTACTTAAAAATAACATGGGGATATAAACAAAAAACCAAAACAAAAGGTTATTTGGAGACTGAGTGAAGCACAGTATAAAAACAGAGATTTATTTAATACTATCTTATTATTACTGAGAAAAGTATTACTTTCAACCTTAATCAATTTTAGGCAATCCACTTGATTTAGATTCTGCACTGCCAAACCCAAGGTCTTCAATTTATCTCAGATAAATGACATAATTTACAGAGCTCAATCAAGACAATATTTAACTCAAATATCGAAAGGTAGGGAATGGAAAAGAGTTTCTTAGAATGAAATATTCTTATTACTAAATATTTCAATGGGGGAAAGAAAATTTAAAGCATCTACTAATCACAAAATATGCTAGAATACAAGAAGCAGGAAAATATAAGAGAGTTGCCATTTCTCCAAAATCAAAACAGCAAAATGTCACATTTATTACTACTACAGCATCCCCCGTTTAAAGAGACAGGGGCTCACTCTGTCACCTAGGTTGGAGTACAGTGGCAAAATCATAAACTTATTACAGCCTCAAACTCCTAAAGCTCAAGTGATCCTCCGGCCTCAACCTCCCTGGGTGACTACAGGCACACACCAGCATGCCCAGATAATTTTTTAATTTTATGTAGTAATTTTATGTAATTTTTCAGTTTTATAATTTTTATTTTATGGCAACTGTGTTGCCCAGGCTGGTTCAAATTTCTGGTATTGGTGATCCTCTGCCTCAGCCTCCTGAATCACTGAGATTACAGGTGTGAGCCACTGGCCTGTTTCTACTACTGTATAATTCTTACGCCTGTATACAAAAATAATTTCAATCAAGCCCTCCCCTGGATGTCCTGACTTCTGGTATAAAGGAGGCAAAAGATAAAATCTAATACATGACATTTAAACATCATAAACCCAGATAATGCATTGATGTGTACACAGATCATTCAATTAAATGTGGTGCCTACATTTAAAATTTCCCTGCTCAAAAATATATGCTGAATTGCCCTAGGTACTTAAAATATTTGTATTTAATTAATGTAAGAACTGGTTACATTCACCTTAAGATGTTAAAAATTTTTGAAACAGAATACTAAAAACAAATTAGTCTTCCTGAAGAATGGTAAAATGAAATATAGTTACTGGCACAGAACGTCAGTTATTAATTCAACTATATTATTTTATATTAGAAGAGATTTAATTAATGAATGAATGGTTCTAGAATAAGCTTCCCCATATAAATTAATAATTGGGGTACTTCTTATTAAACTTTGAAAAATAAAAAGTATCTCCACAAAGCAATAACTTGTTTAAGGCATTATGTCTATACCATCACACCAGTGCAGAGTTAAAGATAAAAATATTAACCTAAGTTTAAAAGAAGCTTCTGCTTAAGCTGCCTGTTAAATATAAGTTTAAAAGAAGCTGAAACGTTTTCAGATGGTCAGTTAAATTTCTACATAAATTAGGCTTTGTTAAAATCTCAAGTCAAAGTAAATGGCCCCACAATTTTCAATGGTCCCAAATGGTTTTCTGAGCACTGTAAGGACTCACCCAGACAGGATCAGACAGCTCTTGCCCTTTTTTTGTACTGACTTCAGAAAGCATCGAGTCCCAAACAGAACACCAGCACATCCCACCCAGAACAGCAGGAAAGCCAGCCTCGTGCTTTTCAAAGTGGCCTTTTCATCCACTCTGAATTCTAAAAATGATGGAAGTCCTCTATGATAAGGGATATTTCCCTGGTTTGAGAGAGCCCCAAGTGCTTCTTTCATTTAGGGAAGGCTCATTTTGTCACTTAACAAGTGAGCCTATTTGAAAAAGGGCAAGCTCCTCCATACAGGCCACTGCCGCCGCCGCCGACAGAACAAGGCGCTGCAGTTGGCACTGTAACCACCAGGCCAAGTCCGCAGTGTGAGCTGAAGAGCCACGGAATCTCCTGTACATCCTACAGAATGACGTATAACATGTGCAATGAAACACACTCAAAGCTTGTCTATTCTGGGTAAGGCATAAAAATTCTCTCATTTAAGCTTCATAATAGTTCTGTGAAGTTACTTTCATTTTTTCCTTTCATGAGGAAAACCGCAGAGCAGAAATGCAGCATTGCCTCAGATTAGAACTAGTGGTAGAGTCGCTGCATGCTATATTTGGTATGACTATAAAATAACTGCAAAGTAAAGACTGACTTTAACTGTCTGTGACACAGCAACACTATTGCCTGGCTCCCTGAGATAGGGCCCGGTAATACAGAAGCTAAAGTCCCAGAGAGCTGCAGATTGCCCGGGAAGAAACTGCATGTGGCCAAAATGATGGGGTCTAAGGATCTCCAGCGAACCATAGATGGCCCAAGAGAAATCATTTGATACTGCCCACCAGCCTGGGTACACCTTATAACCAAGTGTTATTAATCAGATGTTGTTACTATGTGCAAAGAACGACATCCTCAGTCAACACGTGCATTTTCAAGGAGATCTCGCTTCAGATCAGAATGGTGGAATAAGGACTTCTAATAATCTACTCCCTTCCACAAAAGCAATGAGAACCCTATCAAAAACTGTCAAAATTAACTTTTTAAGAACTCTGGAAATTAACTAAAGGCTTACAGCAGTCTGAGGAGTGTTTATTTAAGAAAAATTGCATCTGTAAGAACAGAAAGCCTCATGGTGTTTTTCCCTTGCCATACTCCCATTCCCTTTTTCTCCAGCTCTGAAGTCGGAGAAAGCTATTAGCTGGAAGCTATTAGCCCCTCAACCACTTGGTAGCTATGAAAATCAGCAGCCTAGCAGCCACTAGAAGAAATAAAGATTTGGAGTTTCCCCAAAACCCCATCACCAAAGAACTGTCATGTTCTATTTGACCACTCTGACAGCTTGGGCTCACTGTGTTATAGCCTCTTACCCAAAGGACATTTGTCATAATTAATCAATGGCAACTGTTTAATAACGAGGCTGCCTGAGGCAGTATTACCAGTTGGGGCTAACAAGAGGCTGACCAAAAAACAAAATGAAAAACTGAGGAATGAGATGTCCACAGGGGGATCTGAAAAGCTTCGATACGGTCCTGGGAATCCCGAAGGGTATTATGATCTTTTCTTGGCTGTGTGCATTCCCAGGAAAGACTGAGAAGCCCTAAGCTCTCACTGCTGGCTGACGTTAAGCCTCTGTGCAAGTAAGAATTGAAGACATAATATGATACATACAGAAGACAACAAAATGGCAGGTGTAAATTCTACCTTATCAATCATTACATTACATATAAATGGGCAAATGGCAGAGGTCAGCAGAATGGATTAAAAAACATATCCTAAACTACATGTTGCTTAGAAGAGATACACTTTAGATTTAAAGACACAAATAGGTCTAAGGTAAAAGGATAGAAAACGAAGTACGGCGCAAGCAAAACAACTGGAATGGCTATATTACTACTAGACAAAATAGACTTTAAGACAAAACTTGTTACTAGACACAAAGAAAGGTATCTTACAATGATAAAAGGATCAATCAAGAAGATATAAAAAGTATAAACATACATACATCTAACAACACACACATTTTCAATCTTTCTATACTAACTCTATATTATGTTAGGATCCTATCTTCCTTCTATTTAATTTTATATGCAGTGAAATAAGCTTATAAAGTCAACATTGGTAGGAATTGCTAAGGCAATGGTCTATGTCATCCTTTATACCAATTAAATTTTTTTATTTTATTTTAGCATTCAAGTGAAAGGAATATACTAATTAAATTTATAATCAGTAACGGAATCTATAGGAATATAAAATTCCTTGTTTGACTCTGATTTGAAGAGATGACATTCCCTCCACCACCTCCTCCCCACCTCCTCTCCCTCTACCCTCTCCAAAGAGCAAACCTCTGTCTTTTTCTTCTTCACTTTCAAAACTTTCTCTTCCATCATGTCGTGGACTAGACGGAGAACTGTAACTCTCTGAAGATGTTTCTCCACATGTGTCATGTCCAGATCCAATGTCCAAATTCACATCTAAAAATAACAACTCTATTTTAAAAAAATCTTAAGTAATTTCTAAATTGAACCATTAGAAATTAGTTGTAGCTATTATGTTTTTCCAGTTTTCCTACAACCACCTAAAAAGCTGTCTTTGATCTAGATGAATATTCATTAATTACAATTTTAATTGAAAATAATTAATAAATATACTCTTAAAGTGAAAGGCATAAAAGAACAAGTCAATCTTACTGACTTCAAAAAAGAGTTAAGGTTCTTTGAAGGGTCTGTCAAATTATATTACTTTGAGGCACTAAGTCTAGATAATAATATTTTAACACCTCAGAGCTTATTGAAAAATTCATTCTTTAAGAGAACTCAAGAATAGAATGGACTGCCAAAATGCCTATTCAGTTAAAATTACTTGGCTTGACTAGTAAGAAGAATCAAATTCTTCCCATCTAGTAGACTGAGTAGCCCCTGGAGTTCTGCCCAAAGGCCACACCTATACCCTGAGGTGTTGTCCCCACTAAAATCCACTAGCTATCTGTGCTGTGCACATAGGACTACTGCTATATCTAGTATTGGACATTCCCACACTGGCCCAGACTTAGGGAACTGCTCTATTCACTTCTGTAAACTCAGTGGCTGGCACAGCTTCTGCCTCATAGCAAGCTCCATCCAGTACACATTCAGTGTACAAATCCCCACATGAGGGATTCCAGAGGGTGTCTAAAAACTACAGATAATAAACTATCATTTCCATGGGAATCTGGTAGAACCAATAAAAGGTAATCATTATTAACATTTGTGTAATGAGCAATTCAGCGGACTAACCTGTATCTTTTGAGGATAAATTTATAACAGTGTTAAATTTTTAAAGATGATCTAGATTAGCCTAGCTACTCAAATGTTGGTTGAATATTGAAGAAAAATAAAGTCATTAAGAAATGCAGATGTTACTAATTCCTTTTGGGTAATAAATTATGTGTCAAACTACCATGGGAAAACTGCACAAAATCTCATGAGGGTATAAGGCAGAGGAGTTACAAGGGCAAGTTATAATTTTACAGAAAAGTAATCTGGAGTATACTCACAAAGAAATAGGCTTCTCAACTACCAGTCACAACATGTCCAAAGAGAGGGATGCAAGTCAACACAAATGGCCGTTGAAGACAAGCTAATGTGCCACAGTTGCCAAATAAGTTGGCATTAAATTGTGCTAATATAACTGTAGCACATACAGAAATCCTGAATGTAAATATTTCAACCAGCATATAACAAAATGAACAATCCAAGGATTAGGAGAATCCTTGGTTCAACAGGATATTCTTCTCAAAGCAGAAATGATGGACTAAAAGGGAACCACTGGGGCAGTGTTCACCAAAACTCAGGCAGGGAAAGTGTAGTGGGGGCCTCTGAAACTCCAAACAGCAAGTTTCAGAATACGATGAAGGAAAAAAAAAAAGCAGCTCTCTCTCCAAGTGGCATAATTTACAAAACTATTTTCTTTACATTATACTACCTAGTAGATATTCTAATCACCAAACTGCCATATATTACATTGCAGCTTTCAAAGAACTAAATACATAAATCTAAATCTATACTAAATGTAATCTTTTTGATGATTCAGAAGCTACTTCAGAACTGTGTAGGGTAAGAACGTCATGCTTAGAAATAATGTGATCTGATTCAGGTGCAGACGGTGAGAGTGAAACAATTATGCCAAAGGATACTTAACAAATTGTCCTTTTAAAAAGATGCAAACTTAAAAATTTTTTGTCCTGTCTCAAGTGATAGGTCTTGCACATAATTAAGACAAAAATAAAGACCTAAGCCACTATTTTATCAATGAAAAATATTGGTTATTGGTAATTATAAACAACAGAAGTCAGTAACAGAGTTAAGAACTGTTTATATAAATCACAGGTAACAGAACTACATCTATCATCTGAAATATGAAAAGAATCTGGAGACCTTTAAATCATCCTAAATCTTTTAAAACGTGCCGAGAGGTCAATCACCTCATTTCCCCCAAACTTTTTGGTGTCAGAATCTGCAACAGAAGAGTGGGCCAGTAGAACCCTGAGTGATAACCTAGAACAGTGAGCCATCTGTGATCTATTAAATACATGAGGTAATGCACATGTCTCTTGAGAAGAGAGACAAAAAGCCTGGGTTTTAAAAGAAAATATACTGCAAAGAATACAGATGAGTAAAGGCACTGATTGCTTCCTGGGAGGAGGTAACACGGAGGGAGGCAGTGAGGGATGGTGACTTTGTTCCCTTTCAGAATTTTGAGCTACAGGAATGTATTATCGTTCAAAACAGAAGTTAAAATTTAAAATCAGTAATAAATTTTAAAAAATTAAAAGTAAATAATACATATCTTAGGATAGAATGCACTATTTAAAAATCCAAACAACCTACTACTAATCAGAAGGACTCAGTATTTTCAGCTTCAATATAGTATCTACATTTTATATGAGCTACTAAGAGGGAAAAAAAAACCCTTAAACATGTCTTGTGTTTACTGAATGATAAAAAGGCAATTTGTTCTTGGTACCTTAATGTTTCAAAGGAAGATTAACAAACAGATGGTTTTTTTAAAAGTCAGAATTAGCATCTATCTGAGCAACACGTGATATCAATGAGACAAGCTATAAGCAAGATATATTTTACTCATAGTTACACTCTGTAAATGTAAATATATGAATCAGCGACACATAAAGGACAAAGGTTTAATAAAGATTCAAGCCACAGGTGTCTGATCAAAGTCCATGTGGTTCTCTAGAAATGAGACTAAAAAGGAAAGAATAGTAACAAACTACTTTTGCAAGCAGTAGTTCCTAAACCACGTGAGACAAGAGCCAGAATGATCTTGTGGAGGGTGGTATATACCTGCTAGGAATTACATCAGGAAAATGACCCAATCAAGTATGTATTTTAGGAGACAAATACAGTAGCACACCAGGTGTGGTGGCTCATCCCTGTAATCCCAGCACTCTGGGAGGTAGGAGGATCACTTGAGGCCAGGAGTTCAAGATCAGCCTGAGCTACACAGCAAAACCCTGCTTCTACAAAAAATAGAAAAATTAGCCAGGTGTAGTGGTGTGCACCTGTAGTCCCAGCTACGCAGGAGGCTGAGGCAGGAGGATCACTTGAGCCCAGGAGTTTGAGGCTACGATTGAGCTATGACTGCACTCCAGCCTGGGCCACAGAGATCCTGTGTCTTAAAAAAAGAAAGACAGCAACAGACACAGGGAGACCTGGCGGAAGCAATTTCCAACTGTCCACCAACAGAAACTTTTGTCTTTCTTTATTTAGCTTTTTTTTCATCTGTTTAGCTGCCTATACACCACAGGGAACCTTGAAGACGGAAAAGTGTTACAAAATCCTCCTGGAATTAAATCCTTATATAGATGAGACGGGTTTTTCTCAAGTCATTTTCCCCCCCAGTTCAGCTGATTCAATGAGTTGATGATTTTAGATTCAAAAGGTAATTGTTTTTCTTTCATGACTATTCAGTATTTCTATACAAACATCTGGTTTAAAAATATACTGCATTTACGAAACATTCTGAGTATTTATATTACATCACAACTGAATGTATTAATATTAGAATAAAATTTAAGTTAAAATAATGATACTTGTGGACCACTCAATAAATGTGTCAGGGGCACACACGGAACATTCACCTAGAGGTCTGTGGGTTTTCATTCTTTTTTAATCTTTACTATTAATAGTAAAGGTTACCAAAATACAGAAAAGTAACCAGTGGAGCTGCAAAAGGGGCACTTCTCAGTCCAGTGAACCTTGAAATAATGGTGGGAAAATGGAACCCACATAAATGCAATATTACAAAAACCTGAGGGGCTGGGCATGGTGGCTCAATCCTGTAATCCTAGCACTCTGGGAAGACAAGGCGGGAGATCACTTGAGCTCAGGAGTTTGAGATCAGCCTGTGCAAGAGTGAGACCTTGTCTCTACTAAAAAAAATAGAAAAAAAAAAAAAATCTGAGGATCAGAATTCTCCTAAAGCCCCATAAAATTTCTCAGAGGACAGTTCTTAAATCTTGAAAAAGTCAACAATATTCCAAAGTATGACTTTCCATAAAAACACATCCAGACTTGATGAGGGTGGCCTGTAAAGCTGTAGAAAAGACTCCCCATGACCACAGGACCTGCCTGCTCTGGAATAGGGACTGGCTTGAGAAGGAAACAAGTTGGAGACTGCTGCCACCAGAGGAAGAAAAAGGTGGGTAAGTATGACTAAAGCAGAGGGAATGTTTATCTCCATGGCTGATTTATAGTCCTTGAATTAATTATTGATTCCAGAATTATTTAATTTGGAAACTGTTGTACACATCAATGCAAGGTAAAATTCTAACATTAGGATTTGACATGATAGCTCAATATCTATTAATATAAGTATCATGCTGAATATATTTAGGTGATGGGTAATTGAAAGAAAAATAAACTTTCTTACCTTTCACAGTACCACCATGGGCATGCTGAGGAGCAGATAGTCTAATACCATTTACTCTACTATTCAATCTGTTGTCAGTTTTCTTAATTTTCTCCCTAAACCAAACATACATAGTATCATTTTAAATAAGGTTCCCTACCAAACACATTAAGTACAGTATTGCTAAAATTCCTTTCAACATTATTTTGTAATTAAAAAGAAATTTTAGCAAAGGCAATATATGTAACCTAAACATTTATAGCCCCGTAATATGCTGAAATTAAAAAAATTTAAGATTTGCCCTTTAGAGTTGTAAGAGTTTTGACTCATCAAACTGAATATAGTATTTGACGATAGCTTTATTTTTATCTGTATATGTTAATATTTTGAACTAAAAAAGCCCAGAATTAAAATCATAAAGCAAACAAATAAAAAAATACTACTTATACCAAATACACTAAATATGTCCATAATCAAATGCTACATGCCGTCACTCCTTACCAATTTCTATTACTGGAAACATTAAATTGAACCTACTTCTCTATTTGTGTCTTTCCTTTCTTCTTATTTAATGAAGATAAGCTCCGTTTTTCAGCAGAATGCTAGTGGAAAAAATTAAAAGACAAATCAAACAGACAATAGGTAAACCATACTGGTGTCGGTATCCTTTTATTCTGGTAACAAACTTTTAAATGATATATTTCCAGTTGTATATTCTAACAAATTTTGATTTTCTACTTATTTTTGAATTCGCCTACCTGAACCACTAAAATTTACATATTTGGTGATAAATACTTAATATTGTATTAATCATGAGAAAAATATATCTGTTTTCTATTTTTCCTTTAAAATGGACCTGAATTCTTTTCTCTGATTACAAAATAAAACACAGTCAGGTGACTAGTATTTACTACAGGTTAACTATAATAGTATTCTCTTAAAGTTCAGTTTGATAAAACTGACATTTTGTCAACTCCAAGAAAAAAGGGTATAGGCGGGAAAGTAGAATCAGATGGGCTTTGAAAATAGATCATTAATTAAGTACAACAGAAATAATTTACAATTTCTCAAAATATGCTTTAGTGTATAAAAACACATTCCAGGAAGAGTTAACATTTTGATCTGAGTTGTGGCCAAAGACATAATCAGGTTAACAAATCAATTTTCTAGATAGAAGGGTCATTCTGTATTTGCAACATACATATATATTATACACACACACAGGTACTTCCTCCCATATCTGTGATACCATACTACACTAAACACACTTGACAGCATTCTATTCTATGATCACACCCAATTCCTAAGAAAGCAAATATTCCCTAATCATATTCTGAAGTGCCAGTAAATTGGCCCAACTACTTATGAAGGCAGTTTGAAAATTTATATCTTAAATAGCAAGATAGTGATTGAACTGTGAATAATTCTTTTAAGATCAAGAAATTTTGGTATAACAATTAAACATCCATTTGTTAGAATAAACATTTTAGGTGTCATAAAAAGGTGTATTAATTTTACATGAGCAATAAAAGTAATCTAAATATACTTTTTAGGTCTCAGAAGAGCTTAGGTCATATATACCAGTTAATTATAATGTCTAACACTTAAATATTCCTTCATTTCTTCTTACCAGATATACTATCTGACTGAATGCTTATAGAACTCAATTTTTTAAATACATTGCAATGACTTAACTATATGGCACCAAAACAAAACAAAATCCCCATATACCTGGTCAGCTAAGGTCACACAGTGCTCTGGGTGCTGAATGGTGGTGCAGCTTTGCTTCCTCCAATCCACAATTCCATTCTGTTCAGAATATTGCATGGTAAGCCCGTCCAATGGAGAACAATTCGTACCAATAGTGCTATCAAAAGAAAAGTTTATGAAAGTATGAAAATCTACCCTAAATAATCTAATCTGCTATATCATTTCAATGAAGAAGCTACAGTGACTCTTAAGTGTATTAGTTTTTTCATAGAATGTGTAGTGATAGGTCTAAGGAAAAATGTATACCATGAGAAATAATCCAGAACACATGTATTTTATCATTAATATCATTTATCATCTCTAAGAAGAGTAATAACCACTGCACACTCTGCCTTTAGACCCTACACTCTGGTGATTATTCTGCACCACTTACAGCTAGGAATAGAGGCTTATATATAACCCTGTATCTTGAAAGAACTGCTGTGTTAAGTACTGTGTGTAACTAGGTGCATGAAGGGACAGAAAATGCGAATGAAACCAAAAGAAACAGAAACAGGCCAAAAGAGAATCCAGGTGATGAAGTTACTGGACACAGACTTTCAGATGACAGAGTTTAACATAGGCAATGAATACAAGACTGAAAATTTTGGAAGAGTACAGAAAAATGTTTAAAAAAAACAAACTTAGATTTTACAGCTGTAAAATAAACTAATATTAAGAAAATGTATGGGAAATAGGTGAAGAAAATCAGTGAAAGGGAAACATGAAGAAAATCAGCAAAGAAAACGTGATCAGAGGAAAAAAAATTGAAGCACTGAGAGGAAAAAATATGGAAAACAGGAAAAAGTTTAAAAGGGGTGTGGGACAGAGTGAAAAGTCTAATATATGAGGACTTAGAGTCTTAAAAGAGGGAGCAAGAGAATAGGGCAGAGGAAATATTTGAGGAGATAACAGCAGGAGTTTCCTAAAATCAAAAGATATCAAGCTATAGATTCAAAAAGCAGAATTCATCCAAAGAAAGCTACAAAATGTATCATGGGAAAACTGCTGGAAAACAATGAGAAAAACTTAAAAGCAGTCAGGGGGGGAAAGCCTGTTACTGAATGGTAAGATTGAGTGAAATGATGGATGTCAGGTACCTTAAGTGTGAGTTCCCCTTAAAAGCAGAGTCTGGAATGACAGTTTACTTGGAGGTGATCCCAAAAAGGAGAAGCAAGGGGGTAGAGAGAAAAAGCAAAGGACCCCAGTGAATGATCCACTGCAAAGGTTAGAAGCAACACAGCCTCCAAGGTGCTGGGCCCTCCCAGAATGATCTACCCAAAGGACAAGAAGCAGACTCCTGTGAGATCAGCAAAGGCCCTGAGGCAGAAAGTAGAAAGCCTTGTGGCACATACCTGAGAGGGAACAGCACTAATGTGATGTGAGTCAGAAATCACATAAATGACTTATGTGACCTGCATGAGAAACCCAAGGAGAGCTGAGGATATGATGCAAGGGACCAAAGGCACTAGACCAGAAGACAACGAAACTCTAGTCTGAAAGAGCTAACAGAAGGTAACTGCAAATCTACAATCCCATACCCAGCCAAAGTATCTTTCAAAATTGAAGGCAAAATAAACTTTTTTTTCAGATAAAAGCTAAATGCATTCATCACTGGCAGATGTTACTATAGGAAATACTCAAGTATTCTTCAGTTAGAAGGAAAATGTACTTAGATGGATGCTAAGACACAGGAAGGAATGAGAGCAAAGGAATGGTACAATCTAAGTAAACATTCAAAAAGGTTTCATGGGGCTTGAAATTATATAGAGAGAATTAAAATGCATGACAGCTATAATTTATAAGTCAGGAGGAGACAAATGACATCAAACTGAGAACATACAAGTACAAATTAATATCAGACTTTAATAGGTCAAAATGTGTAATTTCTAGGATAACCACTAACAGAATAGAAAAGCAATGCAAAACTATCAAGAAAAAGAGAAAAACAAAAAAACCCAAGAGAAAGCAACAAAGTAGAGAAAAAAAAAACACAGAAAATGTGGGACAAATAAGCAGCAAATAGCAAAATGGAAGAATTACAGTCAAATACATAATTTAATTAAATGTTACACCAATTTAAGAATGTACAAAGGGATTTAAGTTTTAGAAATTAGATACCTACTTCACAATGGGACTCTTTCCGGTATGTTTCTTGTGGATTACAGTGTGCTGCAACACATCTAGAGTAGAGGAAAAAGTAATTTGTTATATTAAACGCTGCAGCAAAAATCCGAAAATTGCTACTAATGTATGTGATCACAACAGTGGTGACAGACCGCAGGAAGCACTTCTATGTGTTTCTCAACACAAAATATCTTAAGCAATTTTTCAAAGACACAATAAGCTATTGAACTGCCTTAAAAATATGCTCTCAAGTGTGTTCTACCTAACAGAAATCAATCTTCTCCAAAAGTCTAACATGAGCATACCCCTGGAAAACTGCAACATTCAATTTCAGGTAGAACTCTTTTTAACCATTAAAACATGAAGTGATTCACATATTTAAAAAAACATACCTATTACTATAACAAACACCCATATACATCTACTTCCCAGACTTCTATATATTTGTTTTTTTTCAGTGCTTGCTTCTGCAGGGCACAAACTATATATTTGTTTTCTTTTTTTCAAGAAACAAAGTATCATAGCTATGACTGAAGGCCTTCCTCCTTCCATTTACCTCCTGCCCTCTACAGAGGTTAACTAGTACCTTACTTGTTGAAACATTCTAGTGCAAGCTTTTCTTTTAACCACTATATATATGAGCTCATAAACATATACAGGTCTTACGTGTTTGAATATACAGTTGTCCCTTGGTATTTGCATATAACCTACGCACATCCTCCTGTATGCTTTAAATCATCTCTAGATTACTTACAATACCTAATACAATGTAAATGCTACATAAACATTTGTTGTATTCTTTAGGGAATGACAAGAAAAAAAGGTCTGTACATGTTCAGAATGGGCCAATTTCTTTCCCCTGAATATTTTCAACTTCCAGTTGGTTAAACCCATGGATGAGGAATCCACAAATAAACAGAGGGTCAACTGTACTTTGAATATCCTTTACTTTAATTGCTACCTAGGACAAATATACTATAATTTATTTATAACTTTACTAACATTTGAAACTTCAGGCAATTTCCTGGTATTTGCTCTCATAAACAATGCCACCTCGAGGACTCCTATCTTTGTCCTCTCGGGCATGTGCATGCACAATTTTCACAGATGCAGAATCACTGGAGAGAGCATAAAATTATCTCCAACTTCACCACACGGTGCCAAATGTCTCTGTGAAATAGTTGTGCCAATTCGTATCCCCACGGCAGTGCATGAGAGCTCCTGTTGCTTTACATCCTTGATAAAGTCAGACGTATGAAAATGTTCTGCCAATCTGACGATTGTAAAATGATACCTCACTGCTTTCATCTGTGTTTTCTGAGGCTGCAAACTGTTTAGTAGCCGTTCAAGTCTTTTCTTCTATGAATTACCTATTTATGTCTTTCACTCATATTTCTGTTGGGTGGATTTTCTTAGTGTGTTTTCTGGAGGATCCTTCTATAGTCTGGATATAGTCTTTTATCTGTAAATACCCTGCAAACAAACATCATCTCCCAGTCTATGGATTATCTTCTAGCTGTACAATGTCTTTTGTCATATGTAAGTTCTCATTTAGATTAGTAAGATCTCTACTGTGGTAATGCTCTCCCTTGTTCAAGAAAAGCTTCTCTTCACAAATTAACATTTAAAAGTTTAAAGTTTATATATCAATTATTATTCACTTGAAATTTTTCTACATGATGTCATTAGGAATCTAACTATATGTATTTTTCCTATGGAAAGTCAATTGTGCCAACACCATTTATCGAACAGTCTATTTGTTCCTCATTTATTTGTGATGCAATCTCTTGTCACATTCTAATCCCCTGTACGTCTGTTTCTCAGCTCCTTAATCTGTTCTATCCAGGTGCCAACATCAGGCAGAATGACTTGTTCTGGTGAATCTACATTTACCTTCTTCTTGACTTGAAGCTTCTGAGCTGTCTTCTTTTAAGTGTTCTAATATCTTAGAAGTCTTCAGAGAGGACTGTAAGTTATCTGTGGAAGTATTCAATACTATTAACTTTTTACAAAAACCAAAATAGAGAGATAAAGAAAACAAATATAATGATTATTTTCCACCCAAGAAGATGAGAGGGGAGTGTTAGTGGTGAAGAAAACATTTCTACTGGTTGGACCTTTGAGAAAGCAACATGACACAGCACAAAGCATGGACTTTGAGGGGGACCCTGAATCATGGAGCCAGCTGTCCCCTGAAGAACCAGGTGACCTGGCAAGGCATTTCAGATCTGTCAGCCTAGTGTGCTCATGTGCAAAAAGAGGAAATGGACTAGATGGGTGCTTCTCAAACTTCTGTGGGGTGGTAAGGATTCTGTTTTTGTTTATTTCTTTTAAATCTTCGTTTTCTTGTGGATTGTTACTTTTGTAAATACAATGATAATGTGGCAATGTCAAAATGCTATAAAAGTCTCTCAGTGTCTACTCAGTTTCTGTTCTACTACAGACCAGCGAAGACTAATTTGTGGACCAGCACTGACCCATGGGACACATTCTGTAAACAATGAATGGATTATTTCCCTATAGATCAGGATTCTAGAGTTCCATATCTTCACTCATTTAGTTTAACATTGTTTTCTCTGTCTTAGTTGTCAGGATATGGAGTGTTGCTCTCTGTCCCAGGATAACAAAAAGGTAAAGCTATTAATTAAAGAAAAACTAAAACAAAACAAACTGAGGCCAGACATGGTGGCTTATGCCTGGAATCCCAGCACTTTGGGAGGCAAAAGTGAGAGGATTGCTTGAGTCCATGAGTTAGAGACAGGTCTGGGCACCACAGCAAGACCTTGTCTCTACAAAATTTTTTAAAAAAAGATTAGCCAGGTGTGGTGATGTGTTGTGTGCCTGTAGTCCCAGCTACTGAGGAGACTGAGGTGGGAAGATTGCCTGAGCCCAAGAGTTAGAGGCTGCAGTGAGCTAAGATTGTACCACTGCACTCTGCTGAGACCATGTCTTTAAAAAAAACAAAACAAAACAAAACAAAACATGCAAATGAACCTTGACAATGTGTTCATTGGTGAGAAAACTCAGATATGCATGAACATTAATGCTGACAAGACTTCTCACAATCTCAAAGCATATACTTCCACATCCACACAGTATTTTAATTTTACAGCCTTAAAACAAATCTACCAAACCTTTTTAGCATTGCTCCATGTAATTTAAATACTGCCAAGCCCTCAGGATGAGTATTCTACTACTCATATGTGTATTCCTTACCAGGGTGAGTTTTCCTGAGCAGCCTATTAATCTGAATTAAAAGTTTAATTTTGTGCTTTAATTCAATACCTTTTTAGAATTAAACAGATGCTATGGATATTCATTAAAGAGTACTTACACTTTTCTCAGGGAAAAGGTGCTGACTGTTAAATCTACATAGCTCTAGAATGATCAAGATTCTCTTTAACAAATGCTATTGACACTACTCAAACATAAATTTAAACCACGGAGCTGTACATCTTGTTTGTCTTGGTCAAGTTGTCAATAAAGACTCATATTTTTAATTCTAATTGCTAATTTATGTTTAAAATATTTAAGGTATCTATATATACTTAAACAGAGAAACTTTAAAAATTAACCCTATATAAACCTATGTAACATCTAATCATATTTTTTCACCTTTCTCGCTCATCTCAAATTAAGGAAATATGCAAGCAGGGTAAATTTAAAGACAAAAATGTTCCCTGCTATAGTAGCTGTGCTTAAAGGGGGCAGAAATGCTCCTTAAGGGCACATCAATGTTACTGGCAAAATATTTGTTATAAAGGACGGCTGAAGTAGGTATGTATAAAATTAAACACCAGGCAGGCTGCGATGAATGCTGAACAAAGAGGCAAAACTGAACACACAGGAACATAAGAAAAACTGAGAAAGCTTCAAGGCAACAGTGATGTTTCAGTTGTGACTTAAAACAGGTGGGATTTTAATGGGCTGTAACCAAAGGATGGATATTTAAATAAGGGTACAAATAAGGAGAGACACTGGGCAGGCAATGGCAGGATATAATGAGAGACACTAGGCCTTCAAGCAGAGTACAGGACAGCACAAGGAACCTCGAAGAGGTTCCCAGCAGTGCTTGAATTCCATATCAAACTTTTAAAGTTTTTACCAGGGGATTAACAATCAAGTTTATTACTACAATAATCCTCAGATAGGTTAAAGCAGAATGAGAAAATACGATCTGAGAAAAGAGTGAGGCTTCAAAGCTCAACAGTCTATGCATGAAAGGGCCTGAGAATGATGGACAGTAAGGAAGGGACAGAAAGAAAGACATCCTTGTTTAGCACCGGTGGCCTTTAAGTCACTGAAAACAAAGGAAAGTGGAAGGCTACTGCTTTCCACTTGAGCGGCTAGGAGGTCAGGCAGGTCATTATGGGAACAGGTGACAGAGGAGGAAGGCAGACTATAGGTTATACACCCTGCATGAAACACTGTAATATCTCTCCAATCTGTGGGCCAGCTCTGACAAGGAACTGAAGGATCAGCCATGTCCCGAAGTCTAGAGATACTCAGACCTTGCCTTGGAATCAGTCTGCTTTGTTACACTAGCTTTTATAGATTATTTTCTTTAAAACTGCAGCATACAATTTATTAAAAATGGCAAGTATTTCTTAATTGTATGTCACTAATTCTTTAACTAAAATGACAAAGCTATATGCATTGACACAGTAAAGCAAGAAACCAAGCAAAGAAAAAAAGATTTCCACAGAGGGAAGAGAATGCTTACTGAGACTGTGCAGAGGGTCTGATGATATGGATTGAAAAAAGCTGTGCACTTTCTGACTCTGTAGAAAAGCTTGTGATGAAGTTGAAAATAGCTGCCTGCATATAAACAGAAAAGGGATTTGTTAATTTCAGACAATATAAATCTATAAGCAACCCAGTTTATATTACAATGCAGATATAAGTGGCAGTTTAATTCAGGTATAGAAAAATACTATCTTTTCCTAAAGAATATTATTTTCTAATGCATTTCCTACAGAAAAAAAGCAAGTAAAATTTAACAAAACTCATTTGCAAGAATCAACTAAACAGGTTTATTTTTAATTTTGTATAATCTGATGGTAAGGTTTCAATTCTGGCAAAAAAGGTAAGTTCAGCCTTTTGCTCAAGTGGTCCGATAGCTGCCTTTCTGCTCAGAAAAAACTGCAATCTCTTTGCCCTTCTCCCTAGATGTTACATTTCATCATTTGGGTATACCATTAAGGGACATTCCCATACTCTGAAATTAGGAGGTTGGGAAAAGTTTGGGATGCTAAAATTCCTGGAAAACATGGATTTTTATGTATTAACAGTTAACATGTTACATGTATGATTCACATTGAATGTGTATCACACTATGATTCTAGTTATCTTTGAAAACCAACTTTCCTCATATTTTATTAATATAATTAAAGGATTCCAACTAGAGGTCTTCCCTATAGCAGTACCTGTGAAAAGGTCTTAAGCATACAGTAGAGCTTGGTCTAATGGAAAGTTTACTCTGGGTTTGAATATCAATTAAACCACATATAAGCTCAATCACCCTAAACAATTTAGCCTTTCAGCTTCAATTTCCTCATGGGGAACACTACCAATTACTCAAGGTTATGAGACTCAAATAGTATATGTAAATAAACTGTACTCTACCTGCTACACAGACGCCCAACATACAAATCCCCTTCTATTACTTTTGAACACTTTTAATGCTTACTTAAAATCTTAATTATTAACTTCTCCCCAAGGTTTTTGACCTGTCATTGAGATTAATTATAAAAACATTAAATACCATAGCAACAGATGACCCTTATGGGTCAAGGTTCCTGGTATGTTAGGCAAAATTGCTTCTTGGGACTCCAATATGGAGGGAAACACCCAACAGGAAGACATGGGGGAAATGAAGAGATTTGAGAAGAATAACAGATCTGAATAAGGAGCCAATCTAAATTCCCATGTCTGAACATGTCACCTTAGGCTGAGATTAAAATCCAAAGGCAGTGGAACCCACACCCAGTTACACGCTCATAAGCACAGGCACACCTTTAATCCAAGGCCTGAGTCCCAAGGGACAGCCCAGATATGACTCTAAGTATCAAGTGCATATCCACTCCAGGAACACTGAGTTATATACTTAACTCTGACATGAGATAAAGGCACAGGACTGAAATCAGTGTACAGACTAAAGTCTAGGCTCATTAACGCATAACCACAAGATGGCAATTACACCTATGTTAAAAAATCAAAGTGGCCATAAACCACTTAATAAATTAAATGAGTAAGAAAAACAGGATTACATTTTGACATGATAGAAATCATCCATCCCTAAATACACATTTTAGGGCCATACTTTCATTTTCCTAATTTAAGCATATTTGAGACTAAATGTAGTGTGTCTTATACCAACCAATCTCTATTTCACTTATAAACTCATTTCCTGTTTCTCATTTTCATTTTTCTTCCCTTCTCCCTCATAAATGCTGTATCTCTCTTAAGGAACACGAATGATGATCTAAAATTCACAAACTGAGAATGAAGTGCCCTAACATTCTATGAACAGTGTTGAGACCACCAGCCTGTCATTCAGGAGAAGATACGGATCCCTATCATATTCTTTACACTAAATTACAAACCAAACGAATCAAATATTTTTTAAAAATTGGAAGAAAACATTTAAAAATTATAATCTTTGAAGATAAAAGGTCTTTCTAAGCATGACACAAAATTCTGAAACCATAAGAAAAAAGATGGAAAAATCTGACTATATAAAAATTTAAAACATCTGTATGATCAAGAAATAATGACAAGCAGGGCTCCTTTTTTTAATCTAATAGGAAACTCTCATAAATCAGTAAGACCAATAAAAAATGGAAAGGATTGAAAAGGCCATTCATAGGGAGGCACCAAAGGCCACTCAAATACAGACTGAAATGAGAGTCTTTCTTTCTGAGACTGGCAAAGATGAGAAATTTGAGAATGTTTCGTGTTTGTTGGGGTGGGAGGTACAAACATGAGGCTTTGGAAGACAAAGTGCTGCTACCTCTTTAGAAGTAATTTGGAAATACGTATTGCATTATAACATTTGAACAACTATAATTCTATAAATTTACCTTACAGATAAATGTATATAAATGTGTTAAGAAACATATAACCAGACATTGTAGAATTGTTTGTAGTAGCTTAAAAATATTTAAGAACTAAAATAGCCATAACAAGTGATTAATTCATGGTTCAGCTAAAAGTGAAATATTATGTGGCAAACAGTAATAGAAGGCAGCAATCTCTTTACGTGTATTGAAGTATTACATACATTTAATTTTAAAAGTGGCAAGAAAGTATAGATATTTCCATTCGGATATACATAGGAAATATATATACATAAATCCAAGGGTATATACATACACAGAAAATTTCTGAAAAGTTACATAAGATTCTTAGGGTTACTTCTAAACTACATGTGGAGGAAGGAACACTAGGAATCTTCACATTACAGCTTTGCTTGCTTCATCACAATTAGCTTGAATAACTTCTTTATAGTAAAAATGCTATCTTAAAACACATACAGATACACACACGTGGAGGCAAAATAAGATCACTGCTGAGGAGAACCCAAATGCTGTAAGGAGAAGTTACACACACTTTTCCTAATTTTGGTCCTGGCTGAGAGTCAAAGTTCTGAAAGTGCCTCCTTGTGGAAATAATTTTTTTTCCCTTTTGAAAATCTTAAACTTACAGAAAAGTTGCAAATATAATATGAATTTATTTTCCCCAGCTGATCTCTGATCTGATGCCCCAACTCCCAGGGAGACATCTGAGCATTTCCTACAAAGTCTTTCTCCTACAATCAATATCAGGAAATTAATACTGATCAATTACCTTCTAATCCTTAGACCCCCATCTAAGTTTGGCCAACTGACCACAAAACATCCTTTCTATCTCAAAGACCTGGCTCAGGATCCTGCGCTGCAGTCACTGTCAAGCCTCTCCATTTCCTCGGGCTTCCCCTAACCCTCCTGGCTATGGGAAGACAGGACAGGCATTTTGCGGAATGTTCTCCACCGAGGCTTGTCTGGTGTTTCCTCACCATCAGATTCACAGCAGGAATATCAGAGGAGTGAGGCTGTGTTGTTTTGCAGTAGCCTACAGTGTGGTGTACAATTCTGACTGACCTACCCCCGACAAGAGTTCCCTTTAGTTGATTAAGTGGTATTTGGTCAGGCTTCTCTACTGTAAAGTTATTCTTTCTCCCTTTATAATTAATAAGCATTATTTAGTAAGAAAGTCATGGGAAAGTTGTTTGATACTATAAATAACCTATTCCTCAAACTTTTAATCTATTCATTTATGATTTCAACATGGATTCATGGTTGGTTTCTTATTTTATTCAATTTACTATTGTTATTTGTCTTGATGTTGTTTGCCCCAGAATTGACCACTAGGAGTCCCTTTCAAGCTGGCTCTGTGTCTTTTTGTCAAAACCGCATCATTCTTTGAGCACTTCATTGCTTTCTGGCACAACAGGCTCATCTTATACACTTTTCCTGCCCTAGCCCTGAAATCAGCTTGTCTTCCAAGGAGCTCTAGTTCCTTTTAGTGGAGACAGGTATTTAAAAGTCAAGATCTGGGCACCAGGTACACCCGTTGCTACTGGGGTGCTTTTGCTTCCAAACCCTTTCAATGAACAGAGCTAGGGAACACATGTGTATAAACACACACACCTTCACATTTATTTATTTATCTATATATACTGAATGTCATGAGTTCACATCAATGATGTCAATGCCAATCAGACACTCCAGGGTTCGTTCTAGTTTTCTCCTTTTCCATATGATAACTCTCTTTCATAAAACAAAAAAATCTGGTTCTCATTACCCTTAGCATATCGACTTATTAGTTTGAATCCCCAATAGCAAACTACCTCCCCTACCATCACGGTTGCTCCCTTCCAACTCTGTGCAGATGCCCTCCTGACACCACTGGGTGCCAGCACCCTGTGGGGCCCCTCCATGCATCTGCCCTCCTCACCTTCCACATAATGCGCACCAGGCCTCACAGCACCATTGCCCACTTAGGTCCCCTTCTCCAGCCCATTAGGGCACAACCTCCCATCCCCATGGGTCACTAACTTTAGGACTTAAATGTTTGGAAGGGACAGGAGAAAAGAGGACAGGAATCTGCAATGATTTTACACTCATACACAGAATGTAGGCACTGGTATTACTAAGACCAAAACTACATAGTTCAGCATATCTCTTAGAACACATATGCATCGAGTTGTAAAATAACTATCTAAGCTGAAGAATAAGTATTTGAGAATGCATATAAGAGTATTTTGGAAACAGTACCAAAAGTAGGAAAAACCAGATTTGCCAGCTATTAGTAAACTATGAAGCTCTAATAATTGAAATGTGATCCCAGAACAAGAATGATAGTGATGACATGGGAAGCCCAGAAACACGTTAATATACCTAGGAATGTATGATAAAGAATGATATAGTATATATCAATAATATAGGAATGAATTAATCCATTGTTTGGAATGAGAAGTGAAGTTAGATCATGACCTCACTTGGTGTAACAAAAATTCCAAATGATTATAGGAGACAGTAAAAACAACAACAAACACCATCACACACACAAAAGTAAATTGATGAAGTTTCTAAAGAGGATGGCTATACATTTTTTTTAATGAAGAATAAACATGGCCAAACCTCAAAAATTACAAAGTGAAACGTCAGTCTCATTCCTACTCTGCAGGTGCTTCTTGTTCCCTAAAGACATGGCATTTTACTATTTTACTGTATAAAATAAGCTCTTTATTTTCCTCAAAAGACATTCCCTTTAACTATCTTTATTGTAATCAAGTCTGCATCAACACTGAACTGTTTGTCTTTTACAGTAAAAAAATATTACAGTAAAGGCCAGGCACAGAAGCTCACGCCAGTAATCCCAGCACTACGGGAGGCTGCGGCAGGAGGGTGGCTTGAGGCCAGGGCTCAAGACCAGCCTGGGTAACACAGTAAGATCTCAACGCTACAAAAAAAGATTAGCCAGGTGTGGTGGTGCACACCTGTCATCCCAGCTACTCAGGAGGCTGGGGCAGGAGGATTGCTTGAGCCCAGGAGTTTGAGGTTATAATGAGCTATGATTTTGTCACCACATGCCAGGCTGGGTGACATAGGGAGACCCTGTCTCTAAAGGAAAAAAACAAAAACCTACAGTAAACATCCCTGAATCTCTAAACATTCATCTTTGCATTTAAGTGGGAATACACCTGTGGGATAAATAATTAGAAGTGGAACTATTCAAAGGCTATCTGCATTTAAATTCTGTTTTGCCAAATAGCTTTCTGTAGAAATTTTACCTACTTATGCTCATCACCAGAGAGTACCTGACAACCTTTCTGATCTTTGCATATTCTACAGGTCAAATAAAAATCCAAGGTTTTCATTTACATTTCTGATAATGAGCATCTTTTTTCGCACATTTAAATGTCACTTAACATTTCAGGTTTTCGGTGCCATTTGTTCATAACTATTTCCATTTCCCCCTGCTTTGGACTAATTGGTCTTTATTATCTTGTTGATTCTTAAGGAGTTTTTACAAAAAAAAGAACTTATTGCAAGTACTTTTTCCCTGAACTTCAACTTTGTCTTCACTTTGTTTTTAATGTGTTTTCCTTTTTACATCAAGCAGAAATTTGATTTCTGAGTACCCAAATTTCTGTTTTTCTTTAACGGTTTCTAGGTATCGTGTGATACTTAGAAAAATCTTTCATACACACATTGTAAATTTCATGTTTTCTTTCTAGCATTGACATCTTTGAGTCATCTAGAGCTAATTTTGATATAAGGAATGACAAAGGACTCCAACCTAATTATTTTCTACATAGCTACCAAGACAAACTCAACATTTTTTTTTTTTTTTTTTTTGAGACAGAGTCTCACTTTGTTGCCCAGGCTAAAGTGAGTGCCATGGCATCAGCGTAGCTCACAGCAACCTCAAACTCCTGGGCTCAAGTGATCCTCCTGCCTCAGCCTCCCGAGTAGCTGGGACTAAAGGCATGCACCACCATGCCTGGCTAATTTTTTCTATATATATTAGTTGGCCAATTAATTTCTTTTTATTTATAGTAGAGACGAGGTCTCGTTCTTGCTCAGGCTGGTTTCGAACTCCTGACCTTGAGCAATCTGCCCGCCTCGGCCTCCCAGAGTGCTAGGATTACAGGCGTGAGCCACCGCACACGGCCTTCAAACTTAACATTTAATGAAGAATCTGGGAATGACTTTCTAATCAGGAAAGAGAGTAACATAAAGACAAAGACTGGCAGACACAACTTTTTAAATTTCATTAAAAAGATCACAGATAAGTGAAAAATAAAAGATAAGTGGTTAATATTAATACATTTCACTTAAAATCTAGGAAAAAACAAAAAGATATTGTAAAAGGACAGATGATCTCACAAAATATACAAATGGCTATACTTAAAGACACTAAATTTTGCTAATAAAGAAAATAAAAATTAAGCCAATGCAATAATCATTCGCCTATCAAATTAGCAAATATTTTTAAAGCTGATACTCTAAGCTAGTCAACCTGTGGTAGCAGGTTAGTCGGAACACTGAGTGTGTACTGCTACTTACATAAACTTCGTAAGAGAAACAGTGTGTGTCAGGGATCGTTAAAGAGGATCTTACTCTTTCAGTCAGTAAATTGATTCCAAAGAAATCTCTCTGCAGCAATTAATCATAAATCTGGGAAATGTTCTAGGAAGAGAATGGTCAAAGCTTTATTTTTAGGGGAAAAGAAAAAACCCAGAAAATTACCTATACTCCCAACAATACTAAAACACTCAAAAGATTACAGAGCCAGACAGGATATCACTTTGGAGCCATTCAATATGCTTCTCAAGAACTACATACAAGCTGAGTATCCCTAATCTGAAAGTCCAAAATCTGAAATTTTCTCAGTGCCAACATGATGCTCAAAGGAAATGTTTATTTCAGCATTTCAAATTTCAGATTTTTGAATTAGGGATATTGAACCTGAGTAATGCAAATATTCCAAAATCTAAAAAAATCTGAAATCTAATACACTTCTGGTCCCAAGCATTTCAGTAAGGGATACCCAACCTACAAAAAATGCTTATAATTTCAGAGGAAAAACAAGATATAAAACTGCAGATCTAGTATTACAGGCAAACAAAAAACAAGTAAGTCAAAGGAAAAATAAAAACGTCAACAATAGTTATTTGGGCAGTTCTCATCTTTTTATTACTTTCTGTGTTTTCCCATTCTTTATCGAGCATCTGTCAGATTTATCACAAAAGCCCCAAGTTATTCAAAATAAACTGAGTGATTCTATATTGAGCAATCTGTATGAAACATTTTACCATACTCAACTGGAGCAAGACAGCAGTGGAGCTCTGAGTCTACTACTGGTCAGCCGTATGACCGCAGATATGTTAATGCCATTTGTTTGACTCTGAGGCCAAGCAGTAAACATAGCTGGGTGGGGGTTGCAGCACACACAGACAAGGTAACAACACGCACCAACTGCTCAGCTAGAAGAATCACAATCTGTTGCTCACCACACACCAAGACCACCAGGCTCTTGCTGCCAGACATCCTGGCCCTACAAATAACACAGCTGCAGAAACTCCTTCCTCCCACCACTTCTAGATCCAGTGGTCTGAGTGCTCACCAACAGCTGAGGCCTTGCTACTCAATTTGTGTCATTATAACAAAAAAAACTCTCCCCTCCCAGATTTTTGCTTATCTCCATCAAGGAGCAAACATTCACCCTACCTGTTCTCAGCTCGCCAACCCCAAGAATACTCACTGGGCCCAGTTCCCAACCCAGGATCAGGAGGGCAGTCAGCCAGTGGCACACCTCTCTGCTCTCCCTCAGCAAGACTGTTTCCCAAATTGGGCCATCTGAGGTTCAGAGGGCAGACAACATGGCATCTCACTGAAGGCTTGACCCTAAGCCATCCAGGCTCTAACATGGCTTTCACTTCATTTACTTATTAGTGACTGTAAGTTTCCCGCATGTTTCCTTGCCATTATTCCTGAACGTATCTCCCTCCTACAGGGAAGCCCTCAGAGAAGGGTTAGTGCCACAACTGCCAAAACTGCACCCAACCTCCACTATCACCTCCAGACCCACTCCCCAGACCCCCGGCCCCCTCCCAACCTGATTCCTTCTGCCTGATAACATGACTACTCCCAACAGCCCCTTCTCCAAGCACAGCTCATTTCACTCTATCAGACTCACCCATTTTCACTCTTCCCAGTTGAGCTCAGATCTGTGATTTGTTAAAAACTGAACATATGTTTTTCCTAAATTCCCTTGCCCCATTATCTGTTTGTCACATCCAAGAAAGCCCCCATCCAGGCTAAATCCAACCATCTACTTTCAACCCCACTACTAGAAAGATTTTTAAAAATATAACAAAAAACAAAAACCTCACACAACAGGATGAACCAATATCATTATAATTTACTGATTTTCAATCTCAACTGGACTTCATACCTGTCCAGCTTACTAGGCTTCCTTTTTAGGCTGTCCTCCAATCTCACACAATTTTAAATCCCTCTACTCTCAAGCTTTTGATCCTGTACCCTGTAACTACCCCTTCTTAAGCAAACCTCTTACTTCAGAGAAAATATGAGCCAGTAAGGATGTCTCAACTCCCCATCACAAAATAAGTATACCTATACCTATATAATAATAACCTATACCCATCATATCTATACCCACACCCATCTGCCTCTGCAGGGACCTTGTGTCACCAATGTCCCCCTTGCCTATGTCTTCAATATTCTCCTCTGTTTATGGGCCCATGGGAAGCTCTGGGGCGTAAAGCAAAGTAACGTCTATGTGCCACAGGCAGCACATTTAATGCTCATCTCACCTACACCTGTCTTTCCTAATGGCCTAACAGCCTCGACAGGGCAAGACCCTGACCTTACTTAACCAGCGCTGTGGCTCCAGAAGAGCAAACAGCAGAGAGCAGGCACTCAGCAAGTGTTGCTGCCCTTCACTTTCCAGCCTGAGCTTCCTATTGGACAAAACAAAATCAAAACAAAAACATCTCCAAAGTTTAGCTCTTAGACAAAGGCGTCTTTCAGTAAATATTTTATGGAGAAAATAAGAGGTTTTACTCAATATTTGCATATTTTAGAAGCAACTAAATTTTATGACATCAGAGAACTAAAGAGTACAATATGAAATTAGTTTGGTAACTTTTACTATGAGCCTAGACCTAAACAGCACAAGGATAAAAGCTCATTTTAAAAAGTACTCCAGAGAAAGGATGTGTGACCCCTCCTTAAGTAGCACTTTATCCTGTTTGTAATGGTGCTGTGCTAGGTGTCGGGTAACATCTTACCTTAGGATGGTCTCTAGGTCAGGATGTCGCCGTTCTTCCCTTTTCAAGGAACCCTGATTCAGGGCTCTTAAGATGGTCTTGTCAAAAGTTTCTGAAGACAATTCCTTTGGAAGCTACAAAAGAAAAACATAATGTTGAAAGTTAAGTTTCTCACTTACTGGCAAATATGTTACAAATCAGATGAATTAAATAAAGATAAATGCCTCCTGCTCATTAATCACCCCAAAGCAGCTCCTTTTCCAAATCTTCATTACACAGGACACCATACTGAAGCAGTAAAGATCTTTACCAGGAAATGCAACATCTCCTTCTGATCATCCCTCAGGGCTGCTCCCTGAGGTGTGGAGTAACACACTTCCCAGACATACCTGCATGTACCTCATACTCTAAGTTCCACATGCCACACGGAAATGACACCCACATTAAGGCTCTCTAGTTAAACTGAACATTTTGCATAGCAGAGCTAGTATTATTTTTATCCTGGAATAGTATTCTGAAGTGCTATCTCTGCCTTTATAGTTACCACTTTCATGCCTCCAGTTTTACATTTTAATCTCAGGCAACGTCAGACTACCATTGCTGTAGTACCATTCTGTATTGCTCAGCAATACAGAACTGAGTATGAAGGATGGGTGAGAAACTCTCAATCTCACTTGAATAAAAGCCACCAATTGGAGGTTTGATAACCTTTTCCTTAATGTAATGGAAATGCCCCCTCTGGGCAATGTGCTAGAAACCACAAAAAAATCACTTGGCCAAGAAAAATTTAAAACAAAATTTTGCCATTTAACTTTGTAAAATTCCTAGTAAATTGATTCTTTGTAAAACCAACTTTCCAAGTCTTTCAAGAACTCAAAGTTTTAAATTTGACTTTTGATAACTAATCTTTGCTATCAACTCTTGAATTACTGGCACTTTCACTAAAATTCAGAGTGGAACCATTAACAGTATCTGAGGAGTCAAAGGAATATAAAATCTATACAAATTGGTGATTTGCATATGGAGCTTTGAGAAATCCAAAGTAAACATTTTCTGAAAAATAAGTATTCTGAGTCAATAATTCAGAAAAATGAATTCAATAATTCATGAAAAATTTAGCAAAGGAAACATAAAACATCACTAATTTTAGGAACAGTAGACTATGGAATCAAGATGCTCTGTCAGAATGAAGCTCCTTCTGGTTATTAACCTGGGAACATCAAAGACTCTGTTGGCATGCCACACACTCACTGTGGAAATTACGTCATCTGACTAGCGGGGAAGAAACAAGTTCTCGATCTACACATTTTCCAAACGAAGAAATCACTCTTCATTTCAGTATTTATGCTTTGATATTAGCTTTTTAATACAAACTTATGACACCAAGCATGTATCATATTACCCATTTAAACACGATCTCTCCTGAATATCTGTGCACAGCCAAAGAAAACCAGCTTTAATGAAGAAGTCTATTTCAACTACTGAATCCCTAATGATTCTTCTAAACACTGACGGCAATAGTACATAAACAGTCACCAAGGCAATGACATTGTTCACATTACTAGGCACAGTGCAGATAGGCGGTCATCAGTATTTGCAAACTGATTGATTTTCATGTGGTTTTCAAATTCAATTTCCAGAGCCTACTTCTAGTCCTAAGGGAAAACATATTTTGTAAAAAAAAAGAAAAAAAAAGAAAAAAAATATATATAGCTTCAAATCGTGTCTTTTATATTTTAGTCACTTGTTTTGAATATTCTTACCTCTCAGTTCTAATATACTCAGCTTCCCACCTCCAGAGCACCAGCTGAGCCTCAGAATAAGCTCAGAGTAATGGAATGTTTTTATACCTAGCTATTACAAGTTTATCTTTAAAAAAAAACCTGAAGTCAGTGCATAACCATCTATAAAACCTCACTGCAATGTAGTTCCTGTAACAATCTTCATTCGTTCATCCAGTCAGCAAACACTCAAACTCCTACTGTGTCCCAGGTATTGTTTTAGGCACTGTAGACGCAGACTGAGGGAAGAAACAAAATCCCTGCCCACAAGGAGCTGATGTGTTGGTCATGAGAAACAACAGATGTAGCTGCTAAGAAGAAAAACAGGATGGGGGACAGGATATGGAGGACAAAGGCTTCTACATACATGGAAAAAAAGGACTTGAAATTGCTGACCTCAAACTCATGCTTCCCCACTATAGCAAACTAGAAGTGCAGTTAAACAGCAACCATAGAAGTTAAAGGGTATTAGCCTGTACAGGTTGTCAAAAGGACGGGTTCTGCTCTTAAACTTTTGTAGATGATGTTAAAAGAAAGATAAAAAGAAAAGAAGGATACGGGAAACTTGAAAGGATATTTCATAATAACCAATACATTTCTAGAAGTACATAATGTTGCAGATTATTTTGTGTAAAAAGGCATAAACACCCTTTTAGAAAAATACTATATTCAAATATTGGCTAAATGGGAAGTATTAATTAGCATGACTTTAAAGACTGAATTACTTAGTTGGAGCTGTAGTTTTTTAAAAGCACCTAAGCTTCTAGAAAAATTGTGTGAATGAAAAAAAATGCAATGTGTCAAGACATATAATAGCTGAAGCTTGAGGAGAAAGGACACTGCCTGGGTGCTAGGTCAGGGGAGCGGGGGTCGGCTGGTATGTGCTCTCATTTTAGTTTCGCAGCCTGGTGGGCAGGGAGGTAGTTCCCCACACACAAACATGCCAAGTTCCTTGGCCTGGACAGATGGCAAGCACTCGAGCCCCCACTTGAAGACTTTCCAGACTTAGCTCTTATCCCCTGCAACACTCCCTCCAGCATCAGAATTCCGTCATGGAAAGGGAAACAGAAGGGAAATGAAAGCATGCTGCTCCCTAACCCAACTAAGCCTATTCATGATCATGTGTCCTCAAACTTTGATAAATTTATCCTATCAAGAGACAGAAAAGTTAGAAATAAGTAAAAGAGACTTTAAATGTGTAGGTTGGAAGTGGGGTGGGCCTCCTTAATTTTCTCTATAATCAGACTGTCAGCCAGGGCCTCAATTTCTCCTATGGGGTGCACTGCTTTGTGGATGATGCCTGCCTGGGCCCATGCCCCTCTTTTTCCAGCCACGTCTACAATGAGACTGTTGCCATGACTGAGTCCAGCAGTCAGAGGCAGGGCTCACAGACCACTCCTTCCCCCTCACCAAGTGGGCCAGAGCTGGTATGTCCTAGGCAGTGGCCTTTGGCAACTGGAAATAAGTGAAACTCACCCCCCATCTTTACCCACAGGCAGGTCACTAACAAGTGGATGAAGGACTCTTTGGCCCTTCACTGAGAGAGCCTAGTTTAAAATAAGCAACAGGAAAACGTAACTGTTCAAGTCATCCCTGAGTGTCATTTTAATTCAGAGGAACTATCCAACTGAACTAACACTTGGACAGTATATCAAACTATGTGCTCCTCAGAGAACCACCATCGGACATGCTGCCCAAAGCTCTCCAAGTTGATGGAACGCAGCCTCTTTCAGATTTAAGAATGATCTGAAAAGAATGTACTTATGGTGATAAGTAGAAACCCACAAACCAGCACTGGGCCTGAAAATTTCAGATGCTACAGATTTAATAACTACACCCTTACCCAAAACTTAGTGACTGAGTTGGGAATGTTTTGTGCTTCTGGACTGCTTTATCTTTCTATTAATAAATTTTAAAATATTCGCTTATTGAGAAATAGTAATTTACTGATTGTTTAAACCTATTCCCTCCTTTTGATATTTATTGCTACCCATTCACTTTGCAATAAAATCAAATTAGTATAAAAGAAACAGGTGACAGTTTGAACAGAATGATCTAAGATACCTTTCACCTCAGCAAGTCTGTGTGTTCCCATTATCTTCTTATTCCCAGTAGTCTGGAGATTCTCTCAAAAGAGGGATAGGGGGGAGATGGAACCCAAAGAAGAGAGAAATGGAGAAATATTTAAAGGAAGTCTCCAGAGAGAGCTGACTAGTTATCAGGTCTGAGAACTACTACCAAACAAAAATAAGCCTTATCTCATTTTGCAGACACATTCTCTCACTAGAAGCACCCTTGTTGCAAGCAGCCATCAACAATATACATCTTTTGCAAGGAACTAGGAACCAGGTTCCATTTCTTTAAAAAGTAGAAGTCCCTTCATCATCTCCTTATGTTAGTAATGTAAGGTAAGAAAATATGTTTAGAATAATACTATGTCATCTATAGCTAATGGTCATTCAGAGTTCTGAGCCAACCTTTACGTGTTTTAATTTTCCTGGTGTTTGTTTTGACATTGAGGTTTCTGGATCCTGCATATTATGTAAAAATCATTTTAACAACAAAATCTATATTTTTACCTTCAGTAGAAATTCCTGTAGTTCTTGGTGGGTTTTTGTTACTGTTGTGACTGAAAGATCAGACCAATTTACCTGATTTAAAAAAAACACACATATTATATGGTTATTCCTTAGGCAGGAACTGGCTAGAAAAAAGCCATGTGTAAAACAAAGGGCCTTACTTAAATTTTATTAAGATTAACAATTAGAAACATAAAGTTAATCTGGCATTGTCATATTTTCTCCATAATTATTAAAATTAACTCTACATTGACATATTCTACTCAAAAAAGTTTTCTAATAACTCTTCAAATTGCATGGTTTTTTAAAAAAACCTATCTTAAAATGTTACTGTGTTTTAGTAATTTTTGAGAAAGGGAAACGTATTACATTCTTTTTGTGAAGTTACAGGACTCTAAAATGACACTTCCACAGTGTAGATCTATACCACCCAAAGATAAAAGTTCTACGTCATGAAACTTATTATATATACATTCTTAAGAGAGTAACTAGAGTTTACTGACCCTCTTTGGTAGTAGCATTTCCTATTTTCATGGGAATTTATGGTTAATGAAGAGATTTCATCTTTATCTCAGATCTTTAAAATCCTATTAAGAGGGTAGGGGCAGGTATGATTACCTCCATTTTCAGGTGGAGAAACTAAAGTTCAAAAAGGTTAACTTACTAATGTGTGACCCTAAGTAAGTGTAAGAGCCAGAACTGACATCTGTTAGAGTACCCTATCTCCTGGGTACTTTCATTCAGCGACTCAACTGTGGCCCGCTAATCATTTCTACCCTACAATTATTTGAGCTAAACGAATATTTGGGCTATGCTAATACCCAAGCCTTATCATCTAATCATAACATAATTAATCAGACACTTAAAATATATATGGAATTTTATCTAGCAACTCTCAAAACTATCTTTATTAACTGGCACATTTCTTAAATGATTTTTAAATATTCAAATGTTCACTGAATGTCTACTTATGTCAGGCACTGTTCTGACTCTTGTGTCAGGAGACACAAAGATGGACAAGACAATCAGAGTCTCCGCTGCGTTCACAGTTTAGTGCATGAGACAGATGAAAGCAAATGAATATATAAGAATTTCCATAAGTGATAGTACCTTGAAGAAAATGAATAGGGCATGGTACAAGAATAGGAAGAACACATTAGCTGGAGTCAAGAAGGACCTGAGGGAGCTTCTGAGCTGGAAGCTGGTTGTGTCTCAGTCTGGGAGAAGAGCTTTCTGGCTGAGGGGACAGTGAGGCCTTCAGGAAGGACAGCTATGACTTCCAGCAGCGAAAGGGGCCAGCATGCTTGAGCGCAGAGAGCAAAGACTGAGACACGTGCCACAGTGAGACACGTGGAGATAAGGACTGAAACCCGCCAACAGAGAATCTTTCTCCCTCAAAGCAGAAGCCAGAGTTCTGAAACTCATTCAACAGATGTACTGAGCAAGTCAGACACGGTGGGATGGCAGAGGATGAAGATCCCTGCTCTCTAGGAGAGCATAATCTACTGGAAAGATCTGTGAGAGATAAGAGGGTAGTATACACTTTGGATGAAAGCGAAAACATTTTGTTGGAGGATCAGAAATAGCTCCATGAGAGAGGTACAGGTAAAATTTGGCAAGAAATGCCTTTGGAGTGGCATCAATCCACTTGGCTTCAAGGCGTGTACAGTCCAACTTGAGAAGAAAGGGCTAGATGGTGGGGCCCAAGCAGGGAGGAATAAGGAAGCTATGGACAAGGAATCATGTTACAGCTGACAGGTAAGAAGGAGACATGGAAAGTGTTATCCTGGGAGTGACAGAATCAGAGCTGGGCTCTACAGTCAATCAGAAGGACAGGTGACAGGAGAGCTGTTACCTAAGAAGACAAGGCAACAAGGCAGGCAATAAAAACATCACAGAGAAGGGAGAGGAAGAGAAAAATGCCAGGGAAAACAATGCCAGGACAGACAAATGCCTTTGATCTTGATTTTAAAAATACTGGCACAAATAGTTTACTTTTACTTTTTTAAAGATACATCTTATATCTTAACTGTCTCCCTAAATCTAAGGCTCTTATTTATTTTTAATAAAACAGCCAGAGTAATTTCAATAAGATACAACTTCAATACTTTGCAAACCATGCAGTATATACTAAAAACAGTACATTTCCTTAATTTAAAACAAACATATACATAGTTTTTTTCCTTTAAATTAGCAAACTTGCTGTTTTTCCAAAGATCACTTAATATAGTGTATATCAGGTATCTTTTGTGGCTGAGAATAGCTTACTTTGAAAGTGTATTCCGAATATTTGTCAGCCCTTTTTCTCTGGACTCCTTTCAACATTATCTTCTCAATGTGTACAGCTGAAAGAAAAAACACACACTCTGACTTCTACAAAGACTGGATATATATTTCAGTAACCTAAAGTAACCCTAAAATTTGAAAAATACTTAACAATTAAGCTGATTAAGTTATTTAATACTTTCATCTTTACTATTGGCTTTAAAAATCACAAGATTAAAAAAAAACACCAGCAGCACAGCAATGTGCCATACACCCATGTAGTAATTTTTTCTATATCCATTCAACATGCTGAAGTAGTTTTAGGCAATCTGCTAACACCAAAGATTTAAAAAACAATAAAAAGTGCTTGCACTTAAGATGTTTTTCTAAATGATAATCTTTAAAATTGTTATTCTAATTACCACAAATGTAGCACTTTAGGATCAACTAAATCTGGTTCATTCAATTATTTATACATAATAGGTATAAAGCAGAAAATATCTAGTTTAGCACATTGACTGCCACACTAGAAAAAAATTTTTTTCCTTGGGGCCACAGTGTTTTATTATGAAAATAGAACAAAAACTTTGAAAACAAAGTGATCCTTTCTAATTTAATGAAAACGTTGTTATTTTTTAGGGTCCCAAGGTGAAGAGACATGTGAGTTAGATATACTTCACAAGGCCCCGGGGACTCAAACCTTGAGTGAGTTAAATACAACAGACATGACAGTTAATGTGTTAATCCAAAAAAAAAAAAAAAAATACAATTCAAAAGTAACATATCAAGCTGATAAAAATTTCTAATTGGGTATATAAAAATTGTTTTTCTCAAATGTGACCCTCAATATATAATGTAAATACAAATTGAATGCATATATCATTGTATAATGATAAATACAAACTGAACATTGTGATAAAGGTTCACTATAGCAAAATTTTTCACAATTTATTACAGGGAGAAAATAGTGGACATAAATCATATTAAACTTAAAAACAATTATTCTGAACTGAACTAAAAAATCAGTTTGTTCATGAGGTAAATAAACATACAAATCCCCCAACTCCTCATTTTGCACCTCCTTTTATAAAAGTATCACCTTAGTAAATAAATCAAATTGAAAAAGAGCCAATTTGAAAAGAGCTAAATCTACTGACTGTAACGTAAGGAGTTAAGAAAAGGAGACTGTTGCTCAGGGTATAAATAGAAGAAACAGTACTTACACAGTAATGAGCCTGGTAATAACGACTATGACAAAGGTCGCAGGGAAGAGGTTAGCAAAATAACTCAACACAGTGGGATGGGTCACACTGTTGGATTCAGGGGAGCAGGGATGGGGAAAAGAGCAGTTTACTCATTTTTGCCTTAGGTGAAGAAGTAAAAACAGGTAGAATAGAATATACAAAGTGATGAAAACATAGAGGGGGAAATAAGATTGTTAAAGACCATGGAAGGTGGGCAAAAAGAAGGTATGAAGCATGAGGCACAGAAATATGCAGGGAAACAGACATTCATAACAGACAAACGATATACCATCACCATCATTTTGTGACAACTTTCCAAATATAGAGTGTTTGGTGGTCTGCTTCTGGGCCAATTTCCCCTTTGCAGGCCAGAAATGTTGACAACAGAAATGAAAGAAAACCTCAGAAGCCAGGCGAGAAGCCTGTACCTCAGTGCAACAGTGCAAAGGTCAAAGTGGGATGGGAGGGTCTCCTGTTTCCAAAAGCTGTTAAATTATTTAAAGGATGAGACTATTAAGGGAAAAACCTTTTGAACTAATCTATGTTCAGAAAGAAATAAACCAGCTCTACTTCTGCAAATCACTAGGCCTAAGGGTGGGGATCTTGGGGGTTTTGGGGTCAGATCCCAGTTTAGCTTAGCAGAAAGACATTACAGGATATAGGAACATGGCTGTAGCTTCAGCTTTGATTTCAAGTTATATCTACTCTAGTCTACCAGAATTAAGTCAAGACAAGAGAGTACATGGAGAGGGATGGCTGAGAATGAGAGTGCCTCCAACTCCCATATATTAAAACTAAAAAGCATGTATTACATATACCTTTTAAAAAGTTAGGAATGTATGAAAATCATCTACTATACCACCTTACAGTTAATTGTTAGCATTTTCATACAATTTTTATGTTCTTCTAAAATATTTTTATAAAATAAAAGGGACCTTCATTGTAAAACTAAACTCTGCTATAGGTTACTCATGTATCCTATGAGCTCAGGTGAAGTAGCCTACAATTTGAGTAGTTGGAGAAACAGGAGTACTGTGATAGTCTTGAAGTGGTCACTATGTAAATTTCAACAGTAAACAGACCTATTTTTCCTCTGTGAGGAAAATATATTAAACAAAAAAGATCATTACTGGGACTAAAAGGAGACATAATTTCAAGATCGATATAATTGAGTGTGATGCTTATCAAATACCCTTGGCTCTTCTAAAGGCTAGATGGCAGTCTGCATTTTCAATTTCAGTTCTTCTCTCAACACGGGTTAATGGATTCTCCAAATGAAAAGAGAAGAGACTATCCAAACTTATTTCTTTTTAGATGGCAATGTTCTTTCATTCCCCTATTACAACCCCCTTAAAAACTGCATTATTGCAGGAAAAATGGATTTGTAAGGAATTAATTTCCTCTTACAGTGAACGTCTGTGAAATTTATTTTCAGATAAAGTACTATTCTAAATACTTTAGGAATAAGATAAGGTCTTTGCCTTTAGTTGTATGCATACAACCAAGTTAAAGATACAGCCAAGAAAATGCTAGGACAAGCCCAGGGCTACGGAGCAGGAATCCAGAATGCAGATGGCCAAAACTGGGAGGACTGGCTTTTGAGCAAAACCTTGGACCACCAGTAGGATTCTCTACTCCAAAAAATGGGAGTGAAGTTAAGAGTTAATCAGTGTAAATAGTACCCTACAATCTTATGATACATTAACGCTTTAAGTTTTAAAAAATTCAGCATACCTTCTCGCTGAGCTCTATGAGGGGCCACAGTAAGTCCATCCTGAGGTATTGGGGCTTGGTCTATTAAACTGGTCTCATTACTTTGCACATAATCGCCATGAGCAGAGTCGTTCTAGAGGAGAAAGAGAGGGACATGTTAATCTACACCACAGGTTAAGAGTAATGAATTCCATAAAAATAAGCCAGACTCAAGTCTTCCAGTTTTAATAACAACCATTTTAGTGGCAATTTTTAGAGATGAAACAGGTGATGGCACAAAAAGTGCAGAAAGGCACAAAGTGTCAGAGCAGCAAATAAAAGATGAATCATAAATATTTTTATTCAACAGTAATACTACTATTTACTGTTCCAGCTTTCTTGGGAGATAAAAAATTGCCCATAATTATTCAGAGTTGTCAACCATGTCAATTCTGTGCTATAATGAATCAGAATCAAAGGAACATATATAACAAATGGTACCCATTACACTAATCCACCGCAGGTAAGGACATTTGTATTTTTTATATTAATCATCACACAATTTTTACATTGGTTTTAGTGATAGCGTAAAAATATTCTGCTAGGAAAAAGTCTTACAAAAGGTATCATCAATACATGCCAAATTTTTCTAAACAAGAACGTGTATGGACAGTGAGTTTAAAGTTAAGTAATCTAACAGCAACTGGTGCTCTAACCCTAACTTAGTTTGCCCAGCCAATCCACTAGTGAACCAGAGGGAGCTGGACTCCCAGATCTGCTACTTGAGGGTAATACAGGTCTCGCCAAAATTACACACAGATCTCCAGAAGTCAAGTTACTGCAACATGCTGGTTAAGCCAAAAAATAAAACAGGCTTATGTCACCTTTCTATTACAATTCACACCTTATCCCCCATCATGTTCAGAATCTGAAAACATAACAAAATCAGCTCAGTTTCAAGAACCAATTAAAATTTTACAAACTTGCAGTAAATATATTGATTGTTCTAATCATGTAAAAAATGAGGCAAACAGAAGACCCTAAATTTCCCAAGAATCTCAACAGAAAATACTTTGTTCTGCTGTCTGACAATGAGTATGGGTTACCAATAGACAACTTTACTCTGAGAACAAAGCACCACATCGGACACTCTTGGGAGCTACAAGCTTCAGCCTTACTGTCTGTCTTCCTCAGTCAAGGAAATAAAGATTGTCTACATAGGAGAACACAGATCCCTTCAGTCAACATCCAAATTTTCAAACATTTAGCCTGATGGCATTTACTAATTTTTGATATTAATAATTTTTAAAAATATGGATACAAATGTTTTAAATAAAGTCATGTATATCCTAACTCAGACCAGATAATATTTTATTACAAAGTAGTAAAACCACATTTGCCTAAGAGAGATTTTGCTTCTCAAAAATTTAACATTGCTGTGAATACTTCAAAAATCAAGAAATTAATCTTTTCAAATAGCTGTGTTAACTGGAAGAAGTTTAGTTGAATGAGTCAACCATTTCTTATAGTGGAATATTTTTCTTTGTTACTCATACGTGGTTCATAAATTTAAAATAACACCTTCAAGTAGAAATACAAAATGTGCAAAAAACAAGAGTTTTCATTAGTGAAATGCAAATCAAAATGTGATACCACTTCATGCCTATTAGGATGGCTATTATCAAAAACAGAAAAGAAGTGTTAGCAAGAAAGTGAAGAAAATGGAACCCTTGTGCATTGATAGTGGGAATGTAAAATGGTACAGTCAATGTGGAAGACAGTATGGCAGTTCCTCAAAAATTTAAACGGAGAATTACTATATGACCCAGTCATTCCATATCTAAGTATATACTCGAAAGAACTGAAAACAGAGACTTGAACACCAATGTTCCTAGCAGCATTATTTGCAATAGCCACAAGGTGGATACAACTAAAAAGGCCATCAACAGATGAACAAATTGTGGTACATACATACAGTTGCATGTTATTCAGCCTTAAAAAAGAATAAAATCCTGATACATAATATGATCTGGATGAATCTTGACAGTATATTAAGTGAGATAAGCCAGACACAAAAGGACAAATAGTATATGATTCCACATATGAGTTACTTAGAGTAGTCAAATTCATAAAGAAAGTAGAATAGTGGTTACCAGGGGCTGCAGGTGGAGAGAGACAGAAATAAAGAGTTATTGTTTTATGAGTACAGAATTTCAGTTTGGGATTACAGAAAAATTCTGGAGATAGAAAGCAGTGATGATTGCACAACAATGTGAATGTACTTAATGCCAGTGAATTGTACCCTCAAAAAGGGGCAAAATAGGATAGTCTATGTATGTAGATTATACCACAATTTTAAAAATTGAAATGATCATGCTGCCTCCACAAACACTGAAGTAACCATAAGAAAGCAGTTTACTTTCACAATCAAAATCATATTTTTAAATCTGAAGTTAACTTTAAGAACACAATTTAGCAATCAGGAAGCAACCTTCTGTTTAACAGCCTAGGGAGAAAAATGGGGGTTGAGTTTCTATCCAAGGACCTAAGTTCATCAACCCATGAAATATCTACTAATTAAATGTTTCTTTTCCTCCCCAAGTCTCAGCATGTACCAATGCTGTAAAGTCATTTAGACTAAGTTTAGAAGCCATTTATAAACTCACACATGTGAAGCTGCAGCAGTTACAGAGATCAGAATTATGGCCTTCAGCAGCCTCAACGTTGGGCAGCTGCTCAGCCATGCTGCTCCCCTTGTGCGATTGTCACACACGCCTGTCTCTGTGTTCAAGAGGGGAAGGGTACCGTAAGATCTGAGAACTGCTGGTTTAATGAAACTGTATAGATAGGAATTACACCAACTTTTTCTATTTAGTTCAGATTCCAATGAAAATGCAGTACAGATGATGTGCCTGAGTCAGCATTTTACAAAGACCAGTTAGAACAAAGAGTCAGGACCATGTGAAAAGTGGAGAATTTTTCTCTGCTTGGATTAAGGACAGGGTTTAAAAATTCTGAGACTGCAAAAACATGCACCAGCACACAAAGAACCTTAGTATGCGTGTGCAGTCTTCTCCTTTAACTTCCATGAGGTGCAGTTTTCTCTGTCCCATGGCTTGTGTCCTCTAAGAGTTACTGGTTAGCACAGATCCATGTGGCATGTGTGATTCAGGTGGTCTGGAGAGTTTTGCCAGAGATCACTCAGATCTAACTTTTACACATTGAGACCCATCACAATTACATACTTGAGATTTCTTAAATGTGGGAACCTTGTGAAACAGTCGAGTGCCTGGATAGTCCTAAAAAAGCCTTTGTGTAAAAATATACCATAATATTATAATAAAGGTCACACTTGTCTCATTTTATTTTGTTGACAAAGGTCAAACTGTAGATGGAGTTTATTTCAACTCATCTAACAATATTCTATGGTTCCTCTAGTTCCTTGATGTAGATTGTAAATTTAAAAAATGCCAAGGCATTACCAATATAAAAACAAGCAGTAAGAGTTTCTTAGCTTTTTCTGTAAACTAAATTTACCAACTTCTTTAGAAGTTTTCACACTTGTTAAATGAGACCCAGAAAATTAACATTGGTTTATAACAACATTCTATCAAGCTTCTGTGATAAAGATAGCTAAAAATTCTTTTATATTCTTCCCACTGAAAGATGGAGATTAATTCCCTACCCAGTGGATCTGGGCTGGCTTTAGACTGTGACAGTAGCGATGTGCTGCTGAGATTAGGTCCTAAAATGCCTCAGCCTGGGCCTCCTGGACACCTGGGCCACCACATATGAAATGCAGCTTTCCTCCAAGCGGCCACTCTTAAGAGACCACATGGAGAGAGGGGAGGGGTCCAGAGAGGCCTTCCAGGCCCGTGCTGTGTCTCCCGACACCCTAGAGCAGAGACAAGCTCCTTCGTGGTTGTTATCTGTCTAAATTCCTCACCCACAAAACTGTGAGAGATGGTAATTAAAAATGTCATTGTTTCAAGCAACTAAGTTTGGGAGTTATTTGTTACACCGTTATATGTTTTAAATTCTATTCTTTAAATCAAGGGTCCCCAACCTAGGGGTGAGTTGTAGAATTATTTCATTATATATTACAACATAATAATAATAGGAATAAAGTAGTACACAATAAACGTAATATGCTTTAATCATCCTGAAACCATCTCCTCTCTCTCCCCAGTCTGTGGAATAACCGTCTTCCATGAAAACAGGCCCTGATGCAAAAAGGTTGGGGAGCGCTGCTAAATGATCAGGGATGCAACTAAAGCACCTGCTACTATTTAAGCAAGAGTCACAGAAAATCTTGCTTAGAGTATCAGAAGATGATCCATAAATAGAAACATTACTGGGATGCCAAATTTAACCCATTTCTTTTGGAAGAAGAGGGAAGAAGTTGGGGAAAATTTAAGAATTACTTATTGCCTGTCTTTTTACTGAGGAAAATGTGGTGGAAGAGGCAGAGGTTTGTTCAATTTCCACTTAATAAAACCATACAGCTCAACCCAAAGTGATGCCTTGAATCACCCTACAGCATCTGATAAAAGGCAAGTTCTGGAGTAAGAAGAAAGTTGGCTGGTAATGTATGAAAGTTGCACTGGAACAACAAAATTGACACAACAGTTCAGAGGGGTGCCCAATGAACCAATGGCTTAGAAACAGCAGGATACAAATTTTGCCTATGATCCTGGACTCACTGCCTATGTAACTTATTGGTTTAACTAGAAATGTGAGTATAAGTTGGTTTACCAAGAGTGTGGCAGAACATGCTATCTTAAAGCTTGGGCAAATGCACTCCAGGTTCTGAACTGGAGGAGTGGGGATGACAAACCATTTATTAAATTTTATAACCCCTCTGGCATGATAGCCCACAGATCAGACCTGGCCACTAAAACAACAACTACACAACTTCTTAAAATGACATTTGTGAACTAACAGTGTTTACCTGTGCAGAGTGGGGGTGGAATGGAACTGGACAGATGGAGCGAGAAGGGGCAGGGAAAGTCATCACTATTACTTTCTATGAATTTTTTTCTAGCAAAAGATTGCTGACACAGAAGCCTACTGGGGAGGAGGGAGTAAAGGCTCTGAAAGAGAAGTGAGGGCAGCAATTTTTACCCATAACCAAGCCTTGACATTTTCCTTGCA